CATTTCGCATTCATAAATCCGAGCCTAATTCAAACACCACTTTGTAAATATGTCAAACATGGTGACATGAGCTGTACTGGTAAATATAGCGATTCATTCAACCAAAATTATGTACCAGATTTTAGTTCTATTTCTGAAAGAACTTTTACGAGAGCAGCTGTTTTCTTACAGTAGGATTACACGATGCAAGGGTAAAATTTAGGATTGTTGTGTAATTTTCAAGTATTTCATAAAGTTAGAGAACGGAAACGAAAAATTCAGCAATTTTTATGTTTATAAAGCATTTATCGGTATGTAATTCGGGGAACTAAATCGTACGTAAATGGAAGTCTTTAAATAAATATATATATATATGTTAATGCATATGGGATCAATATACTCCATAGATGATTTACTTACTTACCTTATACACAATATGGGAGGAGTAGTTCGAAAAAAAACGCAATTTTTCGCAGCAATTGTTTTAATTTCAGAAGAATATATTAAACAGAAATCTGTTTTGTAAACACAGAAAGCTAAATCTGTGAATTGTAAACTACAAGTAAGCTGAATCTTCGAATTTTAAACCATATGTAGGCAATTTGAGTATTTTCAAATTGTTACTATTTATTTTACGAATGTTACCAATCATTTCTAGTCAAAATTGTTGCTTCTCAACTTTTTATACTTTCGGTTACATTTATCAAAGCACCAGGGATAAATTTTTGAAATGCACATACGGTGCATCAAACCGGAATTTTGCAACATCAAAATCAATAATAATGATTCATAACTAGTTAGATAATAAAACACAAGGCCAACATATTCGGGTATATTTCTATAAAAATGAAAATAAACTGCAACGTCATAAGCGTATGGTAAGCCCGTTTCCAGTAATGTACTTAAAAGTATTGTAAAGTATTTGAAAAATAAAGTTTTTTTAGCAAGCAAAGTCCCATATTACTTTGCAGTGATTGACCTGTCAAAATTAAACCCATCGAACACCCTTAGGGTTGACTGGGGTAAAGAAATATGGTCATCCCTGGACTGCTCCCTTGGCGCGTCCGTTTGGCTGTTAGTAAAATAAAAAAAAAAAAAAAAAACCACGCAGCCACGTTCGGTCGGAATTGTTACGTTAAATATGATACCTAGTGTAGGTGAGAGTAATAATTTTTAACAATATTTTATTTTAAAAACTAAAACATCAGCAACAATTTAAAGATACGATAAGTAAAATCAGGAGGAGCACACATCCTGTATTAAATTGACACGAAATCTATTGAATCGAAAGAGTCAACAGTTTTTGTTTCGCAAGTATGACATGTCACACAAACGTTCTTAAGATTCCAATGCGCACAACAGTTGTTTACGGAAAACATTCAATAGGTAAACTCTCGATCGGGAATACAAGTTTAATCCATACATTTTTTCTACTTGTCTATTCATAACAATAGTCGATTGTAAAAATAATGTCTGCATGCTCTTTATGCAATAATAACTTACATTCAAGCTGCCAAGTTGTTTTTATTAGTTATGCAATTACGCAAGAAATCCGGTGAACACGGTCCATTGTAAAAATACCTTTCAAAAATTCACTACCAGGTGCGCTTGTGGTCGAACGTAGTTAAGGATTCTTACTAATTGAAATGATATAAGTACTATAATGAATTGTTTAAATAAACAGGTCAAAGATACTCTTTTTATCCAGACATCAAATTATGATAACAACGGCATCCCTATTTCTAGATTTAACCACAGTTTGTGATTCGGTTTCAGTCGAATGCGTTGATTCTCATGGAACGTATAGTCCGCATCTTGTTAACACAAATAACTCGTAAATGAATTTCACATAACATAACCTTTCACTTCTTAAAAATAACAAAGTCCTGAATTACATTGCTTCATTTACAAACTTTACTCATTTACACTCAGTCAACTTTTAATTAACAATGGGAACAAATATTTTTGTCTTTTAAACCCGGTAGGGCATCGAATACAATCTCCTGTACTCGGTTCAATCCAAGGGGATTGTTTTTTATTTTGGGCGGTCTCATTGATTACTGGTAACTGATCTATTGTTCTATTCCTGGACCACTTGTCTTAAGATGTGTTTTTATATCGAACGTTACCGACACCTGATTAAGATCAGGATTTTTTTCTGTTCTAAAACCTGAAGACTAGGATCACACATTGTTTTTCAATAATGCAACTATTCATAACAACATATCACACTGTCCCTGTTCAGCGCAAAAGAGTCAATAAAGGGAACAAGTCGGCGAAATTGTTCCATTTGACCTCATTACTCTCAAAATGAGATGAATCGAACCAGATCTATCATGAAGTAACAATGGGGCTGATAGTCATGGTATTCAATCTTTTAATTTTTTGTAAAAAAAATATTTATTATTAAGTTGAGATATTGTTGTTGTCAATAAAATTCCATTTCAATCAGGTTTTTTTTCTTCTTCTCTCAACTTTTCATAAAAGATAATGTTTAATGACTCTATTACAAATACAAAACGGTCAGTTACTCAAAAATAAATCGAGATTCGACTAGAAAGTGAGTTTGAAGTTGTTGCTAATCTAAGGCTTTAAAATGGGTTAAAGATGATTTTCAAGGATAAATAAGAATTAATTCCAATTATCATAGGGATCCTTCGGTAGATACCGTGTACCAGAACTTGTTCGTTAGTATGAAAATATAGACTTTGTTACGACCTTTGCTTCGGATAATGACTTGTATCTACTTTGAATAATAAATATTTTCACCTGAAATAAACTCATGACAGATGCTAGGCTTAAAAATGTGTACGCTATATATGCGTTTCAGAATTTTGGATCCTCAATGCTCTTCAACTTCGTACTATTTTGGCCTTTTTAACTATTTTATTCGAGCGTCTCTGACGAGTCTTTTGTAGACAAAACGCGCGTCTGGCGTACAATTTGTTTTATCCTGGTATCTATGATGAGTTTGTTCGTCTAAAAAAGACATATCAGGGACACTCGAATCCAAAAGTTAACAAAGCCAAATACAAAAGAAGTTGAAGAGCGTTGAGCTCAAAATTCCGAAAGGCTTTGCTAAATACAGCTAAGCTATTATATTCTTGGGGTACAAAATCCTTAGTATTTCGAAAATTTCAAAGTTTCGTAAACAGATAATTTTGTTTATCACCATATCAATGATATTTCATGTCAACACAGAGGGGCTGGTGATACTCTCGAAGAAATACATCCGTGAAGATCTTTAATGCATCTACCATGAAAACAGATAGTCAAACTTTCGTAGTGCATTCATGTACGATAATGACAACGAATTAAAAAAAAAAACATAACTTCGACACTTTTGAGCATAGAATCTACATAACACTATTTGTGACAAAAGGGTATAAAAAGGCAACTGTTGAGTTTAAAATCTAAGTATATGTCTCATACAATTCTACAAATTCCACGATAACGAACAAGATGAAACTCATTCAAAACGATACATTCAATAAATGATAGGTGCAAGTTCTATTCTGTCCAACCCCAAGCACTCTTTTAAAGTTTTAGTTTGCTGGAAAGAAAACAAAAACTGTCTCGAGGTAAACCAGGTATGTCTAGATTATTACACTGCAGCAAAATGTCCTGTATAGCTGTGTAAATTAGGAACAGAAGTGTGTGGACATATAGATAACAAGAATGTGTCCATAGTACACGGATGCCCAACTCACACTATCATTTTCTATGTTTAGTTGACCGTAGGGTCAAAACTCTATTTTGACATAAAAATTAGAAAGATCATATCATAGGGAACATGTGTACAAAGTTTCAAGTTGATTGGACTCCAACTTCATCAAAAAATACCTTGACCAAAAACTTTAACCTGAAGCGGGACAGACGGACGGACGAACGAACGGACGCACAGACCGAAAATCATAATGCCCTTAGGTGGGGCATAAAAATATGTACAATAGGAATATAATGTACATAATAAAAATAATATGGTCAACTACACATGATGGCAAACAAATTTGAATCATACCACGTGTGAGAGCTTTCTGTAAAAAGTTCTCTCACTACACAACATGTCATTATGATAGGATAGTAAAATAAATGGTCAAATACCCAGAACTCCAGTACACTAACGGTGTAGAATGATCAAGAGAATACGATAATAAATAATTCTACCACATGTGCAAGCTATCTGTCAAACAGTCTTTGAGTATTGTTGATATTTTGAAAATTTTGTTTCTATACTTTTACTCACCTTGTACAATTTAGTTTAATCAATAATAAAGATAATATGCATATTAAACTTTTGTCATTCATTTAGAAGCTTCAACTTCCGTCAGAAGTTGTTGTTTTAGGGGAAATTATTTTGAAAAGTTATTTATGATCACATCTTTATTTCAATTCTTCTATCAATATTAAAACATAATGATTCCTCCAAATGACAATACTTGCGTTAGCTGAACATGCAATATTATCAAACAACTATAATATTGCACGTATTACAGATTATCAGTACTTTCATGTAAACTGGTATGGAAGTGGTGATAAATATATTACCTCAATGTTCATTTTCGGTAACCTTGTGAAATTTTTTTTATCTCAGGAAAGTTTGAAAAGCATCTCTTTTTGGGCTTTTTTGTGAATATTGAATATGACCTCTATCTAGACAAGCAGCATGGATAAAATAGGGTTACATCCCTTGAATTTCAAAATAACGTCCTAAATTGACAATGTTTACATGTCATATAATACTTAACTATTATTTGTTTTGTATTATGATTTTTTCGTTACACTAAAAGCCGCTGGTTTTTTTATAGTTCATTTTACAACGTTGAAGTAATTTTCTTTAAATAGTGAATTAAGACGGCAGAGCTTGACAACTGTTTCGGATGCTTGAAATAATTAAAGAGAATAAATGAACATCGTAAGAAAGTACAAAATGTAATTCCATTTTTGCTTTCTGTATTATACATATGACATGGTTAGGCTTCAATTCCTTGAATAGTTGTAATGTAAAAGGTAACAGATGATACACATGAATATGACATTTTATTGACTCACAATATTCAAATATATCTAACAACTTTCATGGACTTGACTGTATGAAATTAGTGATTGAGTGAATATGTAACTTTATTTTCTAACAGACACACTATTCCTTACAAATTTACAACAGTGATCTGAAATATAACATTATGCATGAATCTATTTCAAAAGTATTTAAAATGCAGCAATGAACAAAAATTACAAGTAAAATCCATTAAAATCGTTATCTGTACACAATTGTAAAACACTTTTATGAAATGGCATCCTGAACAAAGAATATTTCCAAATCTTCAAAGTAAATCTTTCTTTCTTGTTCCTTTTCCCATACGATAAATGTTATTTTCCCATTCATTTCATTTCAATCATACAATCAATAGTCTGAAAATAAAGTAAATAAATAACATAAACTCATCTGTTCAATCATTTTACTTTTAAAACAAAAACATTGCATTTTTTTTTATCTATTCCACACATTTGTCTCCGAACGGTTTTGAAAGGGGGTCGTTCAGAAAACCACTGATTATGTTTGTTTGATTCTATTCACCTTACACTGAAATTCAAGTCTATTTGCAGTCTCGAAATTTGCAACTGACGTCAGGAAGGAAAATGAAAATTTTGCCTGATCAAAATATAATTTGCCTGGCAGATATGACGATCTAAAAAAAAAAATAATTTGTCTGAAATTTGGTCAGACAATTGACAATACTTGTCTGACCAAACCTTAATTTGCCTGATATGTCAGGAGGTCAGGCATATTTCGGGACCTGTGCTACTTCCCATTTCAATCATTAACATAATTAGTAATTTGGACTTTTTACACATTTTGTACTCGCACAACTCTTTCAAAATCCATTTACTGAATGTAGAGAGGCAAATGAAAAATCTAATGAACACTTATATGCAGATTAAAGTACTAGTTACTATGTCGTAAATTTCTATGCTCTACAAACCTAACCAATACTGACATGGTATAATTATACAGAGAGGAAGTGTGGAGAATCATTATGGTATAAACACGGAGAAATAGAAAAACAAAATTAGATAGTGTTTGGAATATCATTACAGTTAATTTGGTAATACATAATCAAAGAACTAATGATGTTTCTCCTTAACGAGGATTCATGTCAGTTAAACATAAGCCAGACATAAACAAAATCAGCAATATTCAAAATTAGTTTGAATCTAAAAGTTCAAAAAATAGGAACCAGACGATCACATGGGTTGTGTCAGTGGATAATCAATTAAAACGTAAGATTATAAAAGAAACGAGAGGCCCAAAGAAGTCTTGTCAATGATTATCATCAATGCACAATTCGTACTTCTGTCATTGTATTAGCTAACAACAATGAAACAATATTATATTACATTGGTAGTTCTTCTACCAGGATGCAGAAACAGGATTTAGTACTGTCCAATGAAGCATATGAAAACGGGTTTCAAAAGTGCTCTATCAAGTGCGATCATATGGATATGGACATTTCCAATTAAAAACTAATTTCTTAAGTAAGAAATCAATTTGACCAAAAACAGTTTTTTAATACTGTCCTTAAACATTAATTGTATGGCGTTTGCAAAGTCTGCCGAGTAATTTTGAATTAATATCCTGGTCTTGTCAATGATAAAGTATTCAATTTTGAAACTATTTATGTAAATATTATCCATAACCTTATAATTCATGATATTACATTACAATTAATTTGTATTACACAATTTTGTAATTTTAATTTGAATACCTAATAAATTTTGAATAGGATATCCTACAAGCAATAAAAAAATTGTTCTGATGAATCAAAGTATGCATGTCTGATAAAATTTACAAACACATTTCAAGATTAAATTTAAACTGAAAATATGTATTTTTTTTCAACTTACAAAAACACGATAGAACACTTATGTGCAAAAAGTAAAAAAATACACCAAAATTGTTTAAACGATAAATAATTGGCATTTATATATAAACACATTCACTTTTATTTCTTCTGGTTCTTTCCCTTTTCTGGTGTTGAATGATGGAAGAAATTAAACTACAGATTCAAAGGGAGTGACTACTAGATAGAAATTAAATTCAAAATGCCAGACAATTTAAATGTGAACAGAGACTTAACAACACCTGCATTGAAGAAAGATGTATTTATAAGACTATAGAGTGCTGAAGATCATTCACACTTTATCTGTTTGAAATGACAATGATATATACTATAAGTCATTTTCAGCTTTATAAACATTTAAATTTTATTATAAACACCATTTGGTTTGTATATAAATATCGTATTACTTTAATTATCTTCTTCTTTTACTATGGTATATCTATATCAACAAGCCAATTGAATCTACTTTAGAACCACTCTATTGTATCAAACGTAAAGCAAAAATGGTTTGTAATTTTATAATATAAATCTTTTCTTACTGAAGTTTTCGAGAATAAAACAAAAACAACGTACTCAGAGAACTTAAACCTCTAGTTTCTTAACAATGAACGCAAAAATGTAAATGAAGCTCTGGTCGGTTAGAACCATAAGGCTTTTAGGCTTTTATTAAAAGGGGAAAACATTGTGTAAAAGACATGTTTTCATCGAATTTCCCCCAATGAACATTGGTATACAAGAGGTGACAACAGTTGAGGTTGTCAATACAATAGAACCATAAACAACTGTCATTTAAGTGGGAGGTTTAGTTAGCTATAAAACAAGGTTAACCCACCATTTTCTTCGGAAAATACCCGTACCAGGAAGATGAGTTGTTTTCTATTCGTTCAGTTGGTTGATATAGTCTAACATTTGATTCTGTCAGGTTTTATGGATTTTCCTCTTTTTTTTAATTTACCTTGGAGTTCGATTTTTTTGTTCATACTTATTTATCCATGATCTAACTCACATAGTCATTTGGAATTTACCAACAGCGAAGAGAAAAATCCGATGGAATAGCATGAAATTCAAAGGGGGAGAGACCGGGTACATCGTCTTCTATTATACATGCAGTACAAACCATGTCAATTCAGCTTCAATTTCAAATGTCACGACATGGAATAAGACACAGTCGGTTAAACGTTAAGATCAGACGAATTTTCTGCTGTTTAAGGATCAAGACCACAAGGACATGCTAAATCGTATCGGTAAACGGTATGAGGACAATACATCAATTGTGAGAAGAGCTCGCTTTGAAAACCTCCGTATTATAAGTGTTTAATTCATTGGCAAACAAATAATACTTGCCAGTCAGGTATTTTGTCAACTCTTTAAATATTATATATAATATAAGCTGTTATTAAAAAATATAATTTGTGAACGTAAACCACTGGAATTCTATATTACCAGAGTTGTGTTATTCCTTTGTCTTTCATCTATACAATTACAAAAATAATCAATCCGTTGAAAATGATATTGATAAAACTGCAGAGATCAAGTTAATGTGTGGTCTCATAAACGAAATTAAATTAAAACTTTACTTAACACTCATTGAAAATTAACACTTGTAAACTGTTTTCTTTCTCCTGCAAGATATCATTCAACGATCGACGCAGTAATTTGTCGAAATGGGAGGAAACTAGCAGTAAAATCACATTGCAATCAATTAAGCCATCATCACAGTAGAAAGCATATTATAAAATGACATATATTTAGTTCTGACAAGTTAATAGTAGCAATACATCACACTCTCAATCATACCCACATCAACTTAGATTACGATAACTGATACCTCATTAGGATTTTAATTGGCAATAAAACTTCAAATCTTACTTTATCAACCTTACTAAATTAATACTAAATCTACTTTATTTCTATTTTTTTTATTTTGATTGTCGACATTTACTGTATTTTAAATATACATTTACACTAATGACATAATGCACCTATAGTATGGCAATAAAAAAAATCTTAAGCTTTCGGTCAATTTTCAAAGAGAAGGTATAGTAGGACAATCAAATAAATCTTTTCACACAATTTCAATTGTTTCGGTTTGGATCATTAGTCATGAAAGCCATGAGAATAAAACTGAAGTATCTTAAAGCAAATTTAATAATGGATATGGAGACATTAGTTTCAAGTAAAGTAAAGTTCTAAAATGTTGAAACAAGGTTCATTGTAGGTATACTAAGACCATAAAAAAATTCTTTAGCTCCTCAGACAATTTTTTGAACTTTAGGTTCATGTGAATAGGCAAAAAATTGAAAACAACACGTTTAATAATTTAATGCGACCGAAGCGCTTTTCTGGATTTACCTTCATCAGGAACCCTCAAAGCATATACCACCAGTCCATATGAAAGTGACCGGACTGGTATGTTCATGAGGCAGGATAACCAATAAGACTAGTGGTAAAGAAACTAAAAAATGTTTCAATTGCCTAACTATCATCATTTCCTCCAGATGGATTATGTTGGAGAAAACTTTAGTAAATAAATGATATCCGAACACCCACTAAGTCAAGATATTTCTTAGAAAATGTTTTATTCTTTCTTTTACTGTATGACAACTAGCAGGTATTTTAAAGTAAATATTTATTGATAGAAGTTATATTATTTATGAGAATACTTAATCTGTTATCACTGTTATCATTCGAATAAATTTATTTTATTTTATTGCATAAACTGTCTTGAACATTTACGATAAAAAGAAGCAGGTTCATTTCTCTAATTCCTTAATTCAAGATTAAAATAGTCTTAATCTTACTCTAAAAATATAACAATTACCGGTACACTGACAACATTCCATCATATCCATAAGTTTGATAAAGAAAATAGCAAAATTTAAATGCAAAGAGAGACAAAAGTCTACATAACCAAACATGCAGACTATGTAATTTTTTGCAATATTAAAATATAGAGATGTGTATGACTGACAATAAGGTAACTATCCACTAAAGACCAAAGAATAAGGATGCATCCCGTTAACATCCTTGTTCATTTCATTGTGTGTACTTCTAAATGACAATTATCAAACATTCTAACGTGTCAAGCCATAGTTATAATCTTAAAATAATATACCAATTATGAAAACACTTTATAAATTTCGTTTGTGCGAAGAAGCACCCTCCTGGATATACCTTCATCAGCATCGTTCAATCCTAAATTTTCCAATGCCATGGATGTAAAATATTTAAATTCTTGGGACACATCCAAAAAGGACCTTAAAAAATAGCCAAATTCATCTAAGGAGTTGAAACCTTAGTTTACCAAATATTTTCTTGATTTATCAATGTGTAATTATTTGATAACATTTTAAAACTCAATCACTTTTCTTTTATAGCAATCAATTATCCATTAGTTATATATCACTTTCCACAAATGGGTTTACATTTCAGATGCACCGAGTGGATCAAAAGATAAGTTAAAATTTAAATCAACTCTTTGAAAGACTCAGTGAGATTGGTGTAATAACTCATCAGAAACATGTAACTATCATGATATCTTCCCAACATGACCCTTGAAAGTTAACCATACCAATCCCTTTGTATTGTCATTGAATAGGAATGACTGCATCAGAGTTCAGTTCTTTACATACCAATTGAGGGTCCGAGTTATTTGCATGCATTCATTATTTTAAAATACAAATTATCCTTTACCTCAGATTCTACCTTATATCAGTGCATGTTTAATTATACTTAGTCCAAGAAATTTCTAGGTTTACCAATTAAACATTTTCATACCAAGTATAATTAAAATCTGTGTTAATACAAAGATATCAGTGTTCTGTCATACAGTATTTAATAATTGACTGTTTTGTTTTGTAATTTTATTGGTGTGTCAAACCTATTAAGTAACAAAAAGTAGCATTAATTTTATGTGCCATAACCTTGAAATTGTATGTCTGATCCAGTTCACCATTTGTATTTCTGTGCATACCTTTTTACATTGTTATGCATGCACATGCAGTCACTGATGTTGCATTTTATTGGGAAATAGAACTACTGTTTGAAACTTTCTACATCTCATTTAAAGATTGTGAAATACTACTTAATACAATAATATATTCTATAAATCAAAAGTAACTTTAGTTCTGTTCAAAATTTTCTAAACCTCTAGTACAAACAAACATTCCATGTATTTCTTAATAAAAGTCTTCCACATTTTTGTTTTTCATTCTTTAGCAATGTTTTAAATTTGATAATTACTAGTATCGTTTTAAGAAAAATATGACTTGCAAAGTAAAATTTGAAAACTTGTCCTTTGCATTTCAAATTAATTAAACATATTGTATGGTTAAGTTTTATATCTAATTATAAGATAATGGCATTCGAATTAAAAACTAACCATTTATCAAATTCCAAGTAATAACAGTTCAATCTACCATCTATTTTGAGACCAAAATAAACATTCATAGCAATAACGACATAAAAATAATTAGGAAATTAAAAAATGAATGTCACAACATTATTTCATCAAATGGAACAGATGTCAACATTTTTCACGAGGGCAAAAGCAAGGTTTTGGGTATATAGAAAAAATATGCAAAAACCACATTCTTCAGCATACTAGTCTTCAACATTTTGTTATTTTCATCTTATAATGTAATCAACAAGTATACATAATATATGATGATTCAATAGACAGCAAACACAGATTATAACCTTTCATCAGAAAATCTGTTAATTCATATCAAAAGAAATGAGAGTGTTCACACGTTAAAATAACAAGATTCAAAGACCACTATCACAAAATAAACACATATAGGTATTTACGCTTTAAGAATCTTTCAGTGTAGAAAAAAGTCTAGTTAGAATGACTATTTTTTTAATTTAGTCATGCTTCAGACTTAATAACCTCACCTTTAACCTTGATGACCAGTTCACCATGTACACACACTTTCACAAAAAGAAATGCAGTTTGATGTATATTAGTTCTACCCAATTCACCCCCAGTATTTGCGAAGTCAATCATGTATGATAAAAGAGTACCGTAGTTATAATATGTCAATACTCTGAAATCCATTGCATCTCAATTTACAGTTGAATAAAAAAATTGTTGATGCTATATATCAGATAGGGACAGCACAGAGATAATTGTCAATATTCATATCCGGTACAGGACAGAACAGGAGTGTTTGTACCTTCATATCTTTTTCTGACATGGTACAAAGGGAATACATACATATTTGGGGGAAATTAGAAATAGTGTTTTTTTACTCCACAATACATTTTTCAAGGTAATTTCAAGCATTTATCTATCTAAGACAAATCAAAAATATATTGAGCAGTTCATGATCTGCATATACAAAACCTGTTGACTTTCAAAGGCAAGTTTTATGTTAAATCACTGATAAATAAATTCACTTTACATAATGGGTCATCAAATCATGGACAGAAAGGTAATTGTGCATGGAATTGCCTCGGCAATAACTACAAATATTTGGGTGTTTAATGAGAATGACTAGAGATACAGATTTCTTATAGTCAGTACTGTAAGTAATGGGCAGTAGTATTTTTAAAACACTACAAGCAACTAAACATCACAATTATCATCAGGGTTGTACATTAAATGACAATTAACTTCAATAAATACACTTTCAGTTTTTAAAGGCAGGAAATTGTATAGTTAATATTCAGTGTATGTACATGTACAGACTGAAGTTAGATGTATACTTCAGTTTGAAACAGCTGATGCAGTGGTGATGATGATCTTTTTTCTCAAATGAACTATAATGATCTGTTTTTATCTACATGATAAGGTAATGATGTGGGTATTTTCTAAATGTTTGTCAAAATTCAGCACAAGTTTGGGTCTAAATTATCTTATCGCAACATATATATGTAACTCTTGGATCTCATCAATTACTTGAACTTTCTAATCGGAAACATAAAATATTGACTTACCTATTGAACTACACAACAAAAAGACTTAAATATGAATAAAATTATGTACCTTTTTTTTATTTAATATAAAACATTAATTAAAAATATTTAGTTCTGTTGAGTTGCCTTTCAGCATAAGAATCATCTGTTATTCGTTCCCAGTCTCGCTGTGTTTGTCCCACCACAAATCCTATGTCGCGTCGTCTTGACTGAATTTTTTTCTCCTCAATGTCTGCCCATCTAACCTGTTTAAGAATAAATTATAAATTTTAGAGTTATAAATATAACCTAGAGATCTGATGATTTGTGATTTTTCCTAAATCAAGATTTGAACACTATTCAAAGACAGTAACTGATAACCTCAAAATAGTTGAAAGTTTTCTAAAATAAGTTCTGAGAATTTTTCGAAACAGATAACCCCCAAAGTGCATTAAAATGATGATCTACTTTTGCAGACTGACCCCTAAATTTTCTAAATATCTGCATAATTTACTGCATGGAAACATGGAATACTGGACATAAAATAGAATAAAATACCTTATGTTATAACCTAACAAAGTTTTGGGATAAAAAGGAGAAGAAATCAAGGGGCACAATTTTTACTGTGTTTTAAGGTATCCTTACCATAGAAAATAAAAAGTATGTGTGATATGCTACAGGTCATCAACATACATAGAGTCCGATCATTGCAAAGATATTCTACTATAAAATTCTAATTATATGCTGTCTTCAAACTTTCTAGTGGAAATCATCAGTTAACTGAAGTCATGTCATAAAGAAGTATAGCCATTTTCAAGTAATTCTTCGAGCAATTTTATCAAGAAAAGCAAAAAAAAAAAAAGATTTTAGTTCAATTGTCCATCTGCAGGGCTCTGAGATATACTTGTTGTTTAGAATCCTTACCCTCTTTTGTCCTGGAGCTAGAGGTCTAGTATCATAGTCATCAGGCAGCTGCAGGAAATCTTCCATACTCTGGTGGACTGGAGCTATCTTCTTATTGTGGTGTATTAAACCATCAAGTTTATCTACAAATAGGTAGGTTTTTTTCTAAATCACAGTTGCATTTAATTCGGTGATGATATAAAGCTTTGCCAACATCATACATTTGTTTAACAGGGTTACATAATAGAATACAGAATTTTTTAACACTATTGTAAAAAATAAGATTCCTGTTATAACACAGACTTAAATTTTCAAAGCACATAAAATCTTCTGTTTAAGCAACTGGTTAGTGTTTTGTGGGGTCTAGTGACTCAATTCTGAAAATGTTCCATTATAAATGAGAAACATTAAACAATTTATCAAAGGTTTGGTGTGTTTCAGAAAGGTCTTCCATGTCAGTTTGTAAATATGTCCATTATGTCATTTATCTTTTTATGAGGGTAAATAAAGAATTACAAATTACTATTTTTTTTCACTAGTTATTGTTTTACCCTAACAATTAATTTTCCAATTTTTTTATCATTTTTTTTTTAATTGTAATTTCAATATTATGAAATTAATCTGGTTAGATACAGTGTAAACTGATTAAGTAGTATCTTCCGACTAAGGAACAGATGTTTCTTCAGAAAATCTCTGAAATGATTAACAGGTGCAAGACTTTTGAACACTATTTTTAAAAAAAAACTGTCAACATAACCTGAACTTTTTTTTAAATTTTGGTGAAATATTAAAAATAAACTTTTGCATAAATGTCAATTAATAATGATACATATATTTACTTCAGGAATATGTATTCTTTCTTAACAACCAGGGGATTACATTTTTCAGCAGCTATATTCAGAAATTGCCAGTCAAGAGAGGATTTATATTTTAACTCCCATGGTAAAACTGTTAAAATTGTTTTCCTATTAATGAAAACAATCTTATTTTATAATTTTCCATTCAGGAACTGCCTTCTTAAAAATATTGAAATATCTTGTAAAAACAGTTTTTGCTTCAACAAAAATTGTTGAAGTCATTTATTTTTTTAATTCAATGAGATTCTAACAGACTGTGGTCCTCAACAAAGTGATCCACATTTCTGAATCAATACACCATTTAAGGGCACCTTGATGTCAGTATTTTCATTCCTATAACTTTAGTTTTTGAACCCTTCAGTCTGTTCAAAAGTATCCTTCTAGAAACCGTTCTGTACATCTAGTGCACTTATTTCTGTCCCCATAAAATTGGTTCTTCTTAACATTTCTGCTACACAACATCATTATGGGCTAAGCATGGTGTCTGGAAACTATAAGTGTTAATGCATTACCATAACTTTTACATTTTGTCCTCCAAATTGATGGATTTGATTTACCAGTGAGTTTTATGGTCATTTCGATACATTTACAAGTAATAAATTTAGAAACATCAGATACAATTGGCTATCTCTACTGTTAGGATAAAGTATTTTAAATCAATCTGCTTTCTGTTCAAACTTTTCTGCACAGGTATAAAAAAAATTACCTAATTGTGTTCCAGAGGGTTCAACTTCCCATTTACTCTTCTTTATTTCCTATGAAGACATAAAATATCTAACAAATGTAACATTGTCTATGAAAAAAATAAATAATAGGTAGTCATAAATTGCACAGGCAATATGGTAACAGAAATCTGACACAGGTATACAATATACAATACATTCGGAGATGGATCATATATGCAAGGGGAACCAAATAAAAACCATTACTCAAACCTCAATGACTTTGGAATCTGTAGTATGTTGAAAATCATCAAATCTAAGAAGGGCAAAAAGAATTTAAAAAGAGAAGATGCACCAATCTCCATCAAACATCAAAGACATTAGCAGGTTGTAAAACTTGTGTCTCATCTGTTTTTATAGTTTATGAGCAATACAATATGCTTAAACAGGGATTGACTGGGGATTATAAGGTACTTAAAGATCGAGTGCACGTTGACAATATTGCATGATGGTGGTGATAGACTTCAAAGGTTATGAAATTAACAGATACCACTTTTGGCCTTTGAAAAACAGAAATACAATTTCAGTCAGCAGTGTCTAAAAGTATTGGAGAGTTGTGTTGATCTTGTTTGATATATCCTTTCTGCATTAGTTTCTTTAGGTATTTATCTCTTGATTTGTGGAATTCATAATGACAATTTAATAGTAATAATTCAATATATACTATAGATTTTGGATAATATGTATTCAAAGTTTTATTAAATCAAATTTGCATAATCTACTTCTACTTCTTAATGTTCAAATAAGATATGACTTTTAGTCAGTTATATAAATGTATAATCTGCAAAAAAAGATGGACTCCTGTACATAAAATTAACACTGAAATAAGCAGACAGTTTCCTACACATTCCTTAAATTATCCTAGTACATGCCACAGACTTCAATTGTCCTAAAAACAATACAAAAATCATAAAAAAAACATCTCACATTACTTTAACAGTGAAATCAAATGCAAGCTGCAGCTCATCTAACAATGTCTAAAGAAAAAAAAAAGATGTAAATTATTTAATCTTAATCAGAATCACATTGTCTCAAAAACTGCATTGAAAATCAAATCATTGCGGCAAATTATTCATACTACTGTAAATTACTTCCCATTTAAAACTGAAACGAAGAAAGCTTGTTTTATGGTGCATAGTCCTAAATGCCTTTTCCGGTTCATAAAATGTTAGCATTTAAAAGGCTAAAAAGAAAGAAACTTGTTGTAAAACATTATATTCAGCTTTTCAGTTTTGGCAACTGCTTCAGAAATAATAATTCTGCACCTTTCCTCAGAGGCCCTACAATAAATCTACAAGATTTTCATTAAATTCTTTCCCGTCTTTGTATTTTCTGAATAAAAATACCCCTTAAAATTATTTTATGGGTCTCTTTAATAATTTCAACTAGAAACTGTTCCATAAAGAAGCTCTAGAAAACGATACAAATGAGTATTGACGTGAATATTTATGCCTGAAACAGAAGTTTCTACAGGTAATATAACGCAAGTTCATATCTTCTTGGAAATCTATACATCAGCCAAAAAAAAAAGTTAATTTTAAATGTTGTCAAAATTTTTATATTCAATTGCATTTCAAGAATACTTCTTTTATTTAAATGATGCTCAAAGGTACAATTCATACATAGTTACACTTGACTATCTTTCCAGTATTAGTTGAAAAGCAATCTCTTTTCCTAGATTTTCTGTCTCCACATGGTATGTCACATACTTCAACTTCATAACCACAATACCATTAAAAGACTTCTCATGTACATGATACGATCTGTTTACATCTCTAAGCAAGCATGATAATGCATCTATCTCATCCAAAAGAGGAAAATTTGGCAAATGTCGAGGCATGTTTATGTATGCGTATATTGTGAAAAAGGCATTTATGTAAAAAGAATTTGCTTTAACTACACTGTGAGCAATACAGTTTTATGTTTCCAATAAAAGTAAATGCAAATTGCAATTTAAGCAAATTATTAAATGCAAAATAATAAAAAAAAAAATCTTCTAAAATCAACATGCCAGTTTATCAACAACAAAACATAAATTAGGATACCCATGGAGATATTCCTTTATTCCACTAATTCACACATTTGAAATTATAGGATTTCCAAGTAGTTTCATCTTTAAATTTGGATAATGCTTTTTATTTATTGTTTTTCTGTTGTTTAATTTAAAAATATTCAAACTGAATCTGGAGTTTTTTCAAGTAATATTTTGGACTTAAGACTTGATTTTGTGTATTATGCAATAAATGACTGTCTTTAATATATGACAAAATATTGGACATGAACATTCCTTTTTGTCAAACACTTATTATTCATAATACAACTGTTGTGGAAAGATAAGTTGTTGATACAACTTCAATAGTTTTTCTCAAAACTTTTAAAGGCTGAATACCAGCAAAAGTCCTGAAAATATCTGTGAAGTATGATATCCTGAATATTTTCATAAATGAGCCATATTATGCTATAAATCCTCTTAATTTCATTTACAACAAATTTCATTAATAAACCAATCAATCACTGGAATGGTCATTTGCATCGGAATGGGTTCCAGTAACAATGAGCAATACTAGAGGTTAAACAATAAGAACCAGATGTATATCTAAGTGTTGCATGTTGTCTATACATCATCCATAGTAAATGGTGACAACATCAAATAATGGGATTTTTTGCTGCTTTAAATAAGCATGTACATGCAACAAAATAAAAAAATGTTGTGCAAAACAAATATTTCAAATAACCCATCCTTCAAGAACTCAATGTTGTATATTTGATAAATTTGACTCGAAGGTACATGCTTCTATATAACTTGATTTTGTCCATAGTCAACAAGTCTTGCATACGTTTATTTGGAGGGGATGATATATATGAATTAACTATACATGGTCAGAATAAAAAAAATTAAATGTATAAAGCATAGAAAGATGAAGAAATGTGGACACACAGAACATGTATATCCTGTTTCTTGTTACGTACAAATAAAGTATGCATCTGAAATATCAGTAATTCCTTTATACTGCAAGGCTTAAAACTATTCAAAGGAGATATTTTAAGGTGGAAATTTTAAATATTGGAAATAGAGCTGATGTAAAAATTCTGCAAACCTAAATATTTCTTTGGAGCATCAATAAATTTCTATGGAACATATTGTTAATGTCTAAAAAAGAATTCTACATAAATATTCAGTAACTTTATTACAAATTTACAGACAGGTCAATTTCAATGCATAAATAGCAGTTGCCATTTAAATTATATAAGATACTTTTAACAGTTTTGACTGAGGAACATTTGAAAAACTAATGTAAAGGTTCTAGGAAGAATCAAGGGTCTCCAATTTCTTCATATTGGCATTGATTAATATGTAACTTCAGTAATATTGAGGGGGGGAAACAAGGAAGAAATGCTTTGCTATTGTGTTTTTGGGAGGGATAAGTTACTTTGATCATAGTCCTTATTCTATTTTTCTCCAATCAGAATATAGGTAATCTTCATATGTTATAATCTAGTCTAAATGCACCTTAAATCTACTTATCTGTCATTAAATATAATTAAAGACATTTCCTTCAAATTTTGTCAATACAAGTGAAAATGTTTCATATCACATTGCTAGAGTGGTTGTCAATACCTAAATGACTACAGACTTCAAATTCCAAACCAGGTGATGCATTAAACTGCATCAAAATGAGCAGAATGTTAGGAATTTAAATTAGTTTGAAACCTGTCTAAACTCATGAAGCATTTCAGTTTATACAGGTTTTATCATAATCTAAAAGGGCTCTGAACTGTAACAAATCCAGACTGTAGTATATGTATGAACATTCAATCAATATATATATATATATACTAAATTAGATGCTGTATTCAGAGGAGAATAGTCATAGTACTATCATGGTATTGGAATTCAAGGTTGTTAGTTTTTCAAAGATAGATACACAGTATGATGAAGTACTGTTCTAAGATATCTTTATTGATTCTTAACTGATCAGAGTATTGGGTTTTTCTAGATAATCTTTGGGCAATTTTGAGAATTGGGAATACAAATTTCATGATATATTGGTGGAGAACTCTGTATGAATAGGAACCTCTTTTCATTCGAGATGGGTCCTCTTACGGGACCTTACTTGAATGTATTTTATATGTTGACAGCAGCACTGTACATATTTCATTTTATATCTTCACATCTTTACCTTTATTTTTTTCAAGATATCAGATATGCATGGGTAAAGTATATTTCACAATTGGACTAAGCTTTATAATAGAAATATCAAGGCATTTTTTTTTCTCCTATCTACTCAGCATACTGTATTATGATGGGTTTTGTATGATACCATAATAAATAGTCAAACTATATTTGACAAACTATTGTTCAATCATACTTACTGTTCTGCAAATCTGTGTGTTCAGTTCTCTGAAAACTCAATTTATTATTAGAATAATATATATCCACAGTATGTACTTACCCTGTCACTGAAACTAGAAACAACTTGTTTGTTAATCAATATTGTTGTACTTACCTGAACTCCAACTGAAACTAGAACCAAAGTCACAAATTAATCAATACTTAATGTTTTATTTGACACTTACCCCCAAGTTCTTGGTCTAAAACATGAAAAAATGATGAGTTAATTTTGTATTTAGGAACTTTGTAATACTCACCCCAAACTTGACATCTTCTTCTTCATCACTTTCTTCTTTCTTACGCTTGTCTGGTTTAGGTTCCGGCTTCTCATCCTCTTCAGTTTCCATTTCAACCTTTCAATGAATAAATCAAGATATTACTTAAATGAAAAATATATCAATAAGTTTCAAAGTATTTTGGCTGCTTTTTAGTCTATCCAGGTCTTGAGCAGAAAACCGGTATCTACATTTACCTTGAATCTGCATTTAACAATAGTCATACTTAAAGTGTCTACAAAATAATTATCTAACAAAATGAGTAATTAAAACCATCATTAAAGACTATTTTGGGTTGTTTTAATCTTTTAACAACCTTTTAAATGCTAGAGTTGAATAATACTTGTTGCAGGTTCAATTTTTTCCATAAATCTTAACCAACACTTTTTACTTATCCATTTGCACCATCACATTTTGTCGTTCATGTGTAATTTTGCATGACTGAAGTACTATTGACTTGTAAAAATTGTGTAAAAAATCAAAAGGGATATGTGCCCTATGAACAGGTCTAATTTTGTCAAGAGAAACTTGTTGAAGAACCGTTCTTAAATTATTTTCTAAAACATTTTACAGTTTTAATTTTATGTTTAAAATATCTTTCTGACCATTTTAATTTACAATGTTAAAAATGTGGACATAATCATTTGAATTATCAACTATTAACATGAAATATCTTCACAATCATTTTAATTTTTCATTAAATATATCATAAGAAGCCTTCAAATGAAGAAACTTGATATGCTTTCACAAAATAAATTGTACCTCTTGTATTGAGACTTCTTGAAGGATTGATCTAACATCTAATCGTAGATAATGTTTTGGTGTCTCCTGCCAGCCTTTTTCAATCTGAAAAAAGAATAATGTCTTTCAAATCTAATAAACAATATATAAACTAGTAGGCTGTGGCCACTTTTTATTGGTGGAGGAAGCCGGTGTGCCTTGAGATAATCACAACCGTTGGCAGGAAAACAGGTAGTAAGTACTAAAACATAATTACTAACTCTTACAGTACAATTTCTTTAAGCAAATCATAGTAGACAATATATATAACATACAATAAGAAATTTTAAAAACTCTTCTTTACTTACCTCAACCTACTACATATTTATTCATAAAAGAAAACACAACTTTGAAAGGATTAAAATTTTTTAGAATGTTGCAATAATGGCTCTTATAATACCCCTTCCTTTTGCGCAAAACAGAAAAATTGAAAAGAGAATAGGTAACAGGTTTGAGTTGAACAGAAGCCTTAAATACATGTATTGCTATATCTCACCTTTTCAATTTCACTCTGAGATCTGTTATGTGTGTTTCTTTTAACACAGGTTGCAACATCAGCCTGTATTTCAGCAATGTAAACCTGTAAAATAAAATCAAACTTGAGATTGATTATAAAATAACAACCAATAAAACTAATGCAATACTAATTTCATACGTCAATTACGACATTTCAATATTTCAATATTTACAAATTGCCATATAAGTATCATCAGTACTTTCCTTACTGGTAGCAGGCTAAATATATCTACATCATGATTCATGTTTTCTACTTTCATGTCAGATGTAAAGTTATCAATGTAAACAGTTTTCTGTCTTTTACTTTTATAAATCAGTCTGCTAACTAAAACTTTAGGGAAAACACTGTATCTCTATTTGTTTTACCTTTTTTTTTAGAATTAATTTTGTAATCGTGAGAAATTTTATAAAAAGTACAACAATTGAGTTCTTATCCCAAATTTTTTTAATCTAGTGTTAACTAGTTTAAAGTTGCACAAACTATGAATTAATTCATTTTTGTTGAGACAAATTTTCCTGGTTTGAGGAAAAATTGTATTTTCATGGATATTTAATTTCATGTATTTGCCTAAGTCTGCATGCTAGCCTAATATCTGATGAGTTCAACCTACCTGAAATCCTTTAGATTTTGCGTAGCTCCAAAATTCTTCAAAATGTCTTTCTTTTTCATTCACAGCATCAACAATGATGAAAGGAAAGAATCCATCATCAATTGTCTTTTTAAAACTTTTATACATATTTTTCCTATATGAACTTTCCAATTCTGGCTCAAACTCATACTCTAAGACCTATAATGAAACATTATAAACCATAAAAAAATTCTATACAATTTCAAGTCCTAGTCTTATTACCAGAATTTTTTTTTGTGTTGGTTCATACGTTGTGACTTTAGTTTTGTTCTAAAATAGACCTAAAACAGTCAAAATTTAAATTTCATCATCAAGTGCATAATTAAGATGTCACCATGACATCAGCACTGATTCAAACAAACCAAAACCTGTTGCTTCTGTATTTAGCAGGTTTTTTTTATTTATTACTTTCTTAAATTGATACAATAATTATATTCAAATGAATTTTTAGAATTTTCAGGCCATCATTGACCTTTTGTAAATGATACTATCTCATAGTGTATGTTTATAGTGATGGATACAATAAAACCTCTAAGAATGATTTTTAAAGCTATGATTTTAACATAAATGCCAAAAGAGTCACTCAATCATAAAATGTAGATCAAATAAATAGAACTTAATTGCAGTTCCTGATCTAGATGTTTACAAGGTTTTAAACAACTAACTAATAAATTCTTCTTGAATAAGCTTTAGAAGTAACCTTTGACTTTCATCAAATATCTGCATTTCTGATTTTGAATTTGAAAGACCATGTATCACAGCATTCAAGGGATCTAATAAAATAACATGTGAAATCTCCTTAAAAGAACAGTCGTACATTGCCTGACAGTATGCATTATCATACCAACCTTCTTTTTTACTTTTTTGCCTGTTTCAGGGTCTTTTTCTGTCTTTTCAACTTCTGTCATGAAATAATCATCTAAACAAAGCATTCTGGGAGCACCACCACCATGCTGAACTTCCTTGTCCTAAAATGATTACAACCCATCATTAGAATAAAATGTACACAGTCATGGATATATATGTGTTTGTTTGATGTGGTTTAAATTTTAATCAATTTTCTACAAATTTATAAAATTACGTGATGGTCAGTTTTATTGGCGGAGAAAAATGGGAGTACCCAAGGTGAAAATTTGACTTAGATAAAACATCTTGCAAAACAATACACTTTAATTTAGCCACCTGTATAGTCTTGTTGAATTGTGGCGCAAATCTGACTGAAAAAGGTTGCAAATACTATCCCTGATCCAGTCATGCAAAATATATTTTCATCATTTTCTCGGACTTTTCAATGTCGAGTTTAGATGTTTGACCTGTCTGCTGTTATCTGCCAGCTGTCAGCTTTAATGATATTTTTATGAGTGAATCATTTTTAAATTTTCTTTGAACTGTTCAATTAACCTATATTGGACCAAGGAAAGGCAACTTGAATTCAAAACAATGGGTCAGTATGAAATATAGTGTTGTTCATACAAGTTTTTAAATCCAAAATTGTTTCAACTTGTGGTTACTCTATTTTCAAAATGCTATCCCTGGGAACCATGTACGTTAAAATGCAACAGTTCATTAATCATTCAGAATTTATTTCAACTCTCATTACCTTAATAAGTTTGCCAACATATGTTTTTCCTGACCCTGGAAGTCCTCTCAGCATAACAACAATCTGTGGTGGCCTGTGTTTTCTACCAGGTGGCACTAACAAATCGTCTATTTTAACTGTTTCCACTTTTGGTTCATGTACTGATTTACTAGACCTTCAAACAAAACAAAACATAGTCTATCATTCAAATGCATCATTAAATTACTATTGTACATAATTTATAATTTGAACAATCAAAGAATGATCCTCACAGTTGTTTTGTTTCAGGGTAATCATAAATGACAAACATGATGCTAGTTCATTGTATTTAAGGATGCTAACTCTTTCAATTAAACAAAAAAAAAGTTTAACCAGCTTTATGATAATAAAGCATCTTTTTGACCCAGACTGAAACTTTCACAGGTATGAAACTTTTATAGCTACTTGATATTTTGTATGGAATCTAGAGACTCAATTTCAATACCATTTTCAAATTTTTTCTGCTAATGTAAAATTTCTGGAATAAATGGGGATATCCTTTCAACTTATATGTTGGGTTATCCTTTCATTAGTATAATACAGCATAATTGTAACCAAAACCGAAATTATCAAGGTACATGTCTGAATATATTCAATACATTTTCAATTTAATTTTTGAATGCCTCAAAAACAAAAACTACTACAGCCCCCCTCACCCCAATTGATGTATATTTAACACATCCATTTTTTTTTATGACTGCTTTTACATCGAAATATTCATAAACATGCACTGATTGTGTAGTGATAGAGCGACTTACCTATCCCTATCTCTATCCCTCTCCCTATCTCATGATAGAGTGACTTACCTATCTCTATCTCTATCCCTCTCCCTATCTCATGATAGAGCGACTTACCTATCTCTATCCCTCTCCCTTTCTCATGATAGAGCGACTTACCTATCTCTATCTCTATCTCTCTCCCTATCTCATGATGGAGCGACTTACCTATCCTTATCACTATCCCTCTCCCTATCTCATGATAGAGCGACTTACCTATCTCTATCTCTATCCCTCTCCCTATCTCGATCTCTATCTCTATTTTTGTCTCTATCCCTGTCTCTGTCCCTTGACGAAGATGATGATGAATAATCTCCATAACCATCTCGGCTACTATCTCTGTTATTATCTCTGCCTCTACTATCTCTTTCATAGTAATCCCTACTGAAGTCAGATTCCCTGTCATAGCTTTGTCGACTGTCAGGGTTGAAACCATGAGACATATCTAAAAGATGAAAATAACTTTACAAGTAACTGAACTACTGAGATTTTCCTACAACAGCCTGGTAAACCTTATTGAAATTCAGGTGCTTTGTCTATGCTTTGCTTACAAGGATATCTGCTCCTTTCTCCTTTTGCTTTTAATAATCATCCCTTTATCAATGAAATTCCTGTCTGAAATTTTTTAAAGGTATAGTAACATTTAGGCAAATCTTAAGGATTCCAAAAAGATCTTCAGAACAGAAAAGGAATAGGATTAAAGTCAGATCCTTGTAAACATAACGTTGACACAGGATTTGATCAATTAGATTGACCATAACCATATAAAAATAAGGAGATGAATTATGATTGCCAACCATCCACCAAAGTTCAAATGAAGTAGATGTAAGCAATTACAAAAAAAAACAAAAGTATTATACATATAATGCAAACATCAATAAAACGAGATGTAAGTTTAACTTCAGTGCAACAGCAACACTTAAAAAAAAACAGAGAACAAGGCTTCTCAGATTTTCCCATTCCATGCTTTCTTTGTTATCGTCAGAATTTCAGATATAATGTTTTGTAACTCTCAGGATTCAAAATCTGAATCTACAGAAATGTCAAAGTAATATATTTCGGCAAGTATTCATAATGTTCAGAAAATTTGAGTATCTCATAAAATATACTGTAGAAACATTAATTTTCGTGGGGTTAAAATTTCGTGGTTTGGTCTATATATAATATTTCATGGGGATTTAATTTCGTGGTTTCCAGTAAATAGAAGTGATATTATATGTAGGTTAAATTTTCGTTGGGGTTTTAATTTCGTGGATATATTCTTTCCATGAAATAAACGAAATTAAATCCTCCACGAAAATTTCTGCTTTTACAGTAGTTATTCTAGAAATAAAGAATACAACATTCACTCGATCTTCTTTGCCAGGAACAAAGCCAACACAAGCATTCCTAAGTCAAGAGTAGAGAACAGGCAAAAGTGCATATTTTTGACATTCCGAGTTATCCAGCTTTTCATGTCTATTAAATACCCAATAAGAAAGTAAATTAGGGCAGAAGCACTTTGTTAAAAACAATGTAGCAGTTGAAGTAGGTCTTTATTTCAATTCTTCAACAACTTCCTTCCTCCCTCCTTTTTCACTTTCACGAATTTCTGAATTTACAGTACATGGCTGTCTTCCCCGTTACAGAATATGCATGTACAACTTAACTAGCCTTACCTGAACTTGGTGGTGCATCATCTGATGATTTCCCATGTCCATAATCTATAACTTGTGGAGGTTTGTATTCTATTGGCTCTGTTGAAAAAGAAATAAAAATACTGAAACGTGATGCAAAAGTCAAGTTGTTCTCTATTTGGATTTTTCCATAAACAAAGTTCATTCAAAAGCTAAATTTCAAGTATCAGGAAACATGAAATAGGTGTCTGACCGATCCAAACAGAGCTAACACGTTACAATTCATCACTGTCAAGCTGCTGACCAAATATGAAATCATAATGTTTGGTAGTGCCTCAGAGAAAAGTGGGACAAATATTTGTTGACAAATAAACGAGGTGAATGCACTGAAGTTTCCATTCCTAGAGTTTAGGTACGATATGACTTAAATCAATCTGATAAAAAAAGCCATAATAAAGTGTGTACCTCTGTCTGTCGGATAATCTGTCAGTCCACTTGACTTGTGACCATGATCTATCACTTCCGGTGCTACAAACAGTCTCGGTGATGGTTCCCTTGGCGGAGCTCCATATCTGTCAGGGTACCAATAGTCATGTGGTCTACTGCTAAAAATATAAGCATATGCACAAAATTATAAGGCTGTAAGAATGTAAAACTCTCATCTGGTTTTCTGGATTATGTCCACTTTGAACTCAAACTTTTCAAAGGTTTCTTTAAACAAGCTGTTTAAATGCACTTCCTGAAAATTCAAATTCAGTTGCTTTCTTGGTTTTTTTTTTGTCATTGGGTTGATGTCTTTTATTATTCATAAAAATACATGATATATAGATGCAATTATCAATGAAATAATAACCCAATAAAACAACAACGGTATACCATAATACGTCCCGTAAACGGGCGTATAAAAAAGATGAACATCTAACAGCAAGCTGACAGAAAGGCAAAATTAATAGAAGCTTGCTTTCAAAAACACAACATGATTTGTCCAAGTATAACACTAGATCCATGTAGTATAAACTGATTTAAGAGGTTCAAGGTGCATATATAATGAGCTTCCAAAGGCAATCATCTGGACAATGGTTTGGTTTTTTTAACTTTATATGACTGTTACATTCCATGGGATAGAACTTTTTTAACAGTATATTGTACAATGCTGAAATTGAGCTCTATCCACATTTCATGTCAATAATATTACAAAACTAAACAAAGATATCATTCAGAAACCTTTTGCTCTGGTCAAACATATGAACTAACAAAGTGGTAAATGTATGCTTCACGGATTTCTTCCAGAGAACATTTAAAAAAGAAAAAAAAGTAAAGAAAAAAAAAAGATATGGGGTATCCATTCATGGAACTTAATCAGTACATGAACAGCAAAAAAAACACAAAAAGCTTTTATTGCTGTTCTTCATCTCAGTCACAGTGAGGCCTTCAACATGGAGCAAAAAAACTCTCACTTCACTGCAAGTTTAAACAGCCCCTAGCACCAGCTTGGGGGGAATTATTTGCAAAAATAATTTGGGTTAGACTTTGTAAGATGTGACACCACCAAATTGCCTTTTTATATCGGGCCCGGTAAAAAAAGAACATACTGGAAAGTAGTACATATTTAAAACAAAATAGTTCCTATGCATAGGTGTAAATATAAAACTATGTAGAATATATTTTAATTATTAAGGTATCAGATCAAAGGCGAAGGACTGGTGATTCTTGTAGAATGCCTTTTGGCTGATAATTTTGAATACTACAAAAATGTATGAATGAATTCTAAAATTGAGGGCATATATTGCCTTTTTCTCAGATATGAAGTACCTGGTTTGGCATATTCAGAATTCCTATAACCAGTACGGCCTGATGTATAAATAACAGAACATTGATCCCGCCCCCATTTTTATTTTTATCTATGGAAGTGAAAAATTTTAAGTGGATAGGAGTAAGGGCCAAGAATAAATAGGTGGTGTACGTCTTATTTAAAGTTTAGAACATAAACTGGCCTAAAATTCAGAGAATGATGTGGCACACATAAGAAAATTTATCTCAAGAATAAATACACCATAACTTTAAAAATACATGCTTAAAATAGTTATTTCCATCTAGCCCTGTCTACTCTTTCAGTACTAACCTGTAAGGATCATATTCATAAGGTCTTCTGTCTGGATAATATGGATCCCGCCTGTCAAAATATGGATCCACCCTATCATAATAAGGATCTCTTCTATAAGGATCATCAAATGGTGGTCTATCATCATATGGTGGTCTTTCAAATCTGTCGCCATGTAATGGTGGTGTTCGCCTATCTCCCCACGGCTCCTGTAAGTAATGTACAGTAAAAATTCTTTCATTGAGCATCATTTGGTGTAGTTGGCTGGAATCACATGTTTCTTTAGGTATTGCATTAAGTTCTAGATTTGTAAAAATTATTTCAAAAGAAGTTTAAAATCCAAGAACTAGTTTCAATGGATGGAAGTGTTCATACGTAACTTGAGAAAATGGCTTATATAGTATTGGTTTTGCTCATTGTTGAAGGCTGTGCTGTGACCTATAGTTTTTAACTTCTATGTCATTTGGTCTCTGGTGGAGAGTTGTCTCATTGACAATTATACCACATCTTTTTTTATATTATGTCAACATTCAGTACCCAGTGCTTCCAAAAAAAAATTGAGCCAGCCGGACATTTTATGTCTTATCCTGATTTTAATCCCTTAAGACTAAGTTTCAAACGTCAATTATGGTAATCAGTTGGCCATCATATAACCAATGATTGACATAAAAAAAACGATATTAAACTTTACTTTGATATAAATTCGATACTCTGATGGTAACTGTTAAATTGGTAGTGCATCATTCGAAGTGTGCAGCACCAGCGTACTAATATCTGCCTTTATTTGTGCAAAATAACGTTGTCAAAACTTTACTTTTGTTTTTAAAAAGACATTTTACTAATACAGGATGTTGACTTGACAATGGTAAAACATGGACCAGAGACGGATACCTAAAATCCGTGTACATTTACAAAGCACGATTGAGTGTTAGTAGCTCTTTCCACGTTATTTCTTCAAGAAAATGCTCGAAAAGAACGTAAGATAAAGGTATCAATGATAATTTAAGCATTTTTGAAGAAATTAGGATGCATAATTAAATTTCCCACCTGCGCAAACGTGTACTAGTTCAAACAACGTGGTTCTGACGATTTTTCATTTAAAACCTTTTTAAATTTTTCATCAAATCATGTTTATAAACGTATTTCTAATAATTTAATCTTTGTGACTAAATTAATTAGATGCAAACCGCTGAAATGTAAGAAAATAACTCTAAATAGACCGATCAATGTCCTCTACAAAATAGTTCACCGGTCACTTGAACACGTAAATTTTAGCTGTCCGACAACTAATTAGCCTTGATTAAAATGAGAAAGTATTAAAGTAGGGGTTGTTTTGATAGGACTTAATCATCATGTCACTTTTATGACCAGAAATGTGTGGCTGTTTAAGGCAAAAGGTTAAGTCAAGATCGCATAAACTTCCAATTGGATTATGTTAAAATGACCGTCTCTTAAGAAAACCTTGAGAACTAAAAAGTAGATGTCCGTTTCATGATTTTCCCAGGCGGACAATGTCCAGTAAATTTATAAATGTCGGGAATATATGACCGTTTTGGAAGCCATGCAGTACCTTATATAACAGAATGTTAAATTTCAGTCTAAATTCAAGCTAAGAAAATTTTATAAAGCAAATATTTAAAGAAATGCTTAATGAATATGTGTAAACCCTCATGACCTTTGTTTAACTTTCTAAAAAGTCAGTAAGTAAAAGTTTCTCTTCAGGTCTTATTAAAATATATTTTAAAATTCTTGTTCTACTTCTATAATAAAATGCTCCGCAGGGCGCAGCTTGATACGACCGCAGAGGTCGAACCCTGAACAGTTGGGGCAAGTATGGACACAACATTCAAGCTTGATACAGCTTTGCATTTGGATTGTGATTAAATATTTGACACAGCATAGGTTTCTGACACAGAATGAATGTGGTCTAAGAACTTAAAAATTTTAAATTGGACATTCACCTATTATGGTCCAATATCCAAAATCTAAATACATGGTTAGATTCAGCATATCAAAGAACCCCAAGAATTCAATTTTTGATGAAATCAAACAAAGTTTAATTTTGGACCCTTTTGACCTCAATGTGGCCAAAGTTGATAACGGGGCCCAAAAATCAAAAATCTAAATACATGGTTAGATTCAGCATTTCAAAGAACCCCATATATTCAATTTTTGTTGAAATCAAACAAAGTTTAATTTGGACCCCGATTTGGACCAACTTGAAAACTGGGCCCATAATCAAAAATCTAAATACATGTTTAGATTCAGCATATCAAAGAGCCCTAAGAATTCAATTTTTGTTAAAATCAAACTAAGTTTAATTTTGGACCCTTTGGACCTTAATGTAGACCAATTTGAAAACGGAACCAAAAATTAAGAATCTAAATACATGGTTAGATTCGGCATATCAAAGAACCCCAATATTTCAATTTTTGATGAAATCAAACAAAGTTTAATTTTGGACCCTTTGGACCTCGATTTGGACCAACTTGAAAACTGGGCCCATAATCAAAAATCTAAATACATGTTTAGATTCAGCATATCAAAGAACCCCAATAATTCAATTTTTGATGAAATCAAACAAAGTTTAATTTTGGACCCTTTGGACCTCAATGTGGACCAATTTAAAAACGGGGCCCAAAATCCAAAAACTAAATACACGGTTAGATTCAGCATATTAAATAAACCCAAGAATTCAAGAATAAAACCCCATTGAAATTGGTCAAGAAATAAGCAATTTAAACGAAGTATCTTCTTTTGCACAATACTGTGCAATTAAATATTTCTTGCTATTGCGCAATACTGTACAATTGACAATTTCTTGCTATTGCGCAATATTGTGCTATTGGATATTTCTTGCTATTGCGCAATACTGTGCAATTGAAGATTTCTTGCTATTGCGCAATACTGTGCAATTGAAGATTTCTTGCTATTGTGCAATACTGCGCAATTGAAAATTTCTTGCTATTGCACAATACTTATTATATAATAATTTACACATCCTGTTTGGTGTGTATCTCCTACCATATCATTATTATTTGCTTTTAAATATAAATCAGAAATAACCAACTTAAAATGGAAAATTTTAAAAGAAAAAAAAAAGGAAAAAAAAAAAATCCCCCCCCCCCCCCCCCAATTTTTTGAACCCCCTTATGATTCATCACCCCCAAACTCAATCCCAGCCTTCCCTTTTTGGATTGGTACCTTGCAGTACAATTTCAGAGAGATCCATACACTTGAACACAAGTTATTGTCTGGAAACTAGAAAAATGTGTTTTTTGGGCCCTTTTTGGCCCCAAATTCCTAAACGTTAAGGGCAATTACCCCCAAACTCAAATCCAGCTTTCCCTTTGTGATATGGAACCTTGTAGTACAATTTCAGAAAGATCCATACACTTACACACAAGTTATTGTCCTGAAACTAGAAAAATGCTTGTTTTTTGCCCCTTTTTGGCCCCTAATTCCTAAAATATTGAGGCAATTACCCCCATCATCAATCCCAGCCTTCCCTTTGTGGTATGGTACCTTGCAGTACAATTTCAGAGAGATCCATACACTTGAACACAAGTTATTGTCTGGAAACTAGAAAAATGCTTATTTTTGGCCCCTTTTTGGCCCCCCATTCCTAAACGTTTCGGCAATTACCCCCAAACTCAATTCCAGCTTTCCCTTTGTGATATGGAACCTTGTAGTACAATTTCAGGAAGATCCATACACTTACACACAAGTTATTGTAATGAAACTAGAAAAATGCTTGTTTTTTGCCCCTTTTTTGGCCCCTAATTCCTAAAATTTTGAGGCAATTACCCCCAAAATCAATCCCAGCATTCCTTTTGTGATATGGAACCTTGTGGTACAATGTCAGAGAGATCCATACACTAACACACAAGTTATGTCTGGAAGTTACAAAAATGCTTATTTTTGGCCCCTTTTTGGCCCCTTATTCCTTTACTGTTGGTACCATAACCCCCAAAATCAATCCCAACCTTCCTTTTGTGGTATTGAACCTTGTGGTAAAATTTCATAGAGATCCATTCACTTAAACTAAAGTTAGAGTGCGAAAACCAATGTGTCTTCGGACGACGCCGGACGACGCCAGACGACGACGACGACCACGCCAACGTCATACCAATATACGACCACAAAAATTTTTTTGCGGTCATATAAAAATATGGAGAGAAGAGGGAGATTCTTATTATAGCTTCTTTCCAAGTTTTTCCTGAATTTGCCAAAAACTTGAAAGAATATTTAAATGGGAAGTATACTATGAAAATCTATTTAAAGCCAACAGATTGTTTTAATTTTTACTTAGATATTAAGGAGGAATAACTGTCTTATTCAAATGTGAATTTTGATGGATTGGTAACTCTTATCTTAAATAAGCAATCTCATTTCAAACCATGTAACATTTTGATATTCCTGAAATATTTTTACGATGGGATCTATTTTTGTTATTTTAAAGTTGATTACCATATTCTCGCCAAAATTGGATAATAGCATTTTTTTGTAATTAACAAGTTTCTTTTAAAATCACATTTAGGTATTCCCATGCCTAAAAGTTGACAGAGTTCAAGACATGCTTAGCATTGAACTTAAGAAAGCCTAAAGTTTTGTAAAAGGCAATGCCAAAAATGTTCATATTCACCTTTGAATCTTAAATAGAGTAAAAATAACAAAATCAACAATGAACTGAAAGTTCTATTCTAAATGTTTTATTAAATTCAAGTTTGTATTTCCCCTTATTTTTTTTCAATTAAACTAAATTCTTATTTCAGACTTTGATTGATAAAAGTATGACCCAAGTGCTAAATATCTTTTTCAAAAGTGTCCCCAACTAGATATCTTACCCTTCTGTTTTCAATGTTCTTAATTTCCTCTTGTTGTTGTTGATGTGTTGCCATCCACTGTTCACCTTCTTCCTCCAATTCTCTTCTTAATCTCTCTTTTTCCTACATTTGAAAATGAAGAAAATGAAAGGAATAGAAAAAAACATTATCAAATGCAATTTACTTATTCACAGTGATCACTATAAAAAGCCTGGTATATTGATCATTTTTCAACTATATTCTGTCATTGCAATGATCTAACCTTTCCAATTTTAAATTCATTGCTTTATACAATGTTATAGCACAGATGTGTTTGTGTATGTGCAAAATTTAAAACAGAAAACATAAAACAAGCTTCATTTTAATGTATTAAGTCCATGTCATGAACCAAATCAAGGGTTGTCTTTGCATAGATTCTAAGTAGGGTTTTTACCTCTTTGGATAATTTGGTGGCAGATCTTAGATGGTAGTTTCTATAAAATTTATTCATTACCTGTCTATACTCTGTGCAATAAAGACCTTGACATAATTATTTAAACTTATCTATTGTTATAGACTGTATATGAACATATTTTACCTTTTGATTGTATTATTGGTGCTGCACAAAGTCATGTTTTTCTCAGACTATTAATGACATCTTTACACTAAATCCATTGGAAGTGTAATGATTGATATTCTAGTTTTAGATATGTGATTTTTTTACCAGTTGTTATTGGCTTTGAAATAGCTTTCAATAACTGTTAGTACTCTTAGATCTGTACTTTGTGTACTTTTTGTTTTTGTTAGTTATTTTTGTGCTTTGTATCGATCTGATGAGTTGAGGCCTTTCAACTGATTTTTAAAGTTTGTTCTAATGTTGTACTGTTACACCTCTGTCCCAGGTGAAGGGGAGGGTTTGACACCAGCAAACATGTTAACCCTGCCACATTCTTTATATGCCTGTCCAAAGTCAGGAGCCTGTAATATAGTGGTTGTCATTTCATTTGTTGTTGTATATCATATTTGTTTTTGGCTTATTGTTTTGTACATAAATCAGGCTGTGAGTTTTCTCCTTTGAATTGTTTTACATTTTTCATATCAGGGCCTTATATAGCTTACTATGCGGTATGAGTTTTGCTCATTGTTGAAGGCTGTATGGTGACCTTTAGTTGTTAACTTCTATGTCTTTTGGTCTCTGGTGGAGAGTTGTCTCATTGACAATCACACCATATTTTCTTATTTTTATATTGCTGTCTCATTGAAGTATACACTTCCTTTCATTAATTTTTTTGAATATTTGAATATTTTTTATTTGAAGTTTAAACCATACAAAAAGCACCATTAAACAAAATTAGATGCTTCCACTAAGCTATTCATGACATTCCAATAGTAAATTTTTGTTTATGAAGTACTGTAAAGTAAAAGCAGAAATTTTCTTGGAGTATTGATTTCGTTTATTTTGTGGATAGACATTATTATTTACGAGATTAAAACTCCAAGGAAAATTTAATTCACAAAGTAGATTACTTTAACATACTTGAAATCACAAATATTTATATAGCCCATTTCAACCCAACGAAAATCAATGTTTCTACAGTATGTACACTGTACTCAAACTAAAGATGCAACTCCCACAGGCAAAGTGTGACTACACGTATATGGATTTGGCTCCTCTCTATTCTTTTTTAATCTTTGTTGCTACATGTATAAATATTTTATACATTTTCGACTTCCAAAAGTTTGGTCTCCAGTTTACGTGATAAATATCATTTTCACAAACACACATGTATTGTATAATAAGTCAATTCATTCATTTATATTTTTAAAAAGAGGCCTCAATGGCCAAGAGTTCCAAGTGGACCAACAACTATATCACTCGCCTGTTAACACTGAGGTTATGAAGTCAAACCCACACGAGGCAGGTGCATTTGACCACAATCTTAATTGACTAGGATTGTCAGTTTTTCTGCAGAAGGTCGGTAGGTTCTCTCCGGATTCCTCTACCAATAAAAACTAACAGCCACAAAATAGCCATTAGTTCTGAAAGTGGCTTTAAACACCAATCAATCATTATATTTCAAAAACAACTTTCACTAAAAAAAAATTAAAGACAGCTTTTTCTGGTGTCCTCATATGATTATTTTAAAAAGGTTTAATTTTAATTCTGTAAGTTTTTTATGCATGATATACATATTCTATAAAAATAATCTTTACCCTTTGTTCATCATGTCAGAGAAATTATTGTATAAAACTTCACCAATCATGCCAATGAAAGAAATAAAATTGGATTGAAGAACAAAACATTTATTTATGTGAATTCCCTATGTATGAAAACTGCCAAACAAAAGAGACTAATTACTTTGTTTTTATACCTCAATGAATTACAGAAATATCAAATCCACACTAAAAAGCTTCTAATTCAACCCTTTTTTTAAAATTTTGGAACTCACCTCCTCTTCATTATAAACTTCAGGTTCTTCGACAGGCTGCGGCTGTTGTTGTTGGTTCATCTGTTCCTCCTGAAACTGATTTAGTTGCCAACCTCTACCTCGGCCCCGACCCCTGTTCATCTGACCTCTTCCACGACCTCTCATTCCTCTGTCAGGTTTATTTTGATTGAAATTTCCCATGAATTCAAGTGGTTCATCTGAATGTCCAAAATTTTGTTCTCCATATTGTTCAGAATTCTCTTCTTCAAACTGCCCTAACATTCGCTGATTCTGTCCCATCTGGTTTTGAAATCCCAAACCTCTTGGTCCCTGATTCTGATTAAAACCCCTAGGACCAAACTGACCTGGAACTTGTCCTCTTGCCCCTCTTTGACCTGGAACTTGTCCTCTTGTCCCCCTCTGACCTGGAACTTGTCCCCTTGCCCCTCTTTGACCAAAGCCTCTTGCTCCAAACTGCCTCTGACCCTGCTGGCCTTGCATCAGATCTATCTGTAGGGGGTCTTGATCAAATTCATTTTCCAGCTGCTGATTTGGACCAAACTGTCTTGGCCCCTGTCCTTGGTTTGGAGCAAACCCCCTAGGTCCTTGACTCTGATTTGGACCAAATTGTCTTGGACCCTGTCCTTGATTAGGAGCAAATCCTCTAGGTCCTTGACCCTGATTTGGACCAAACTGTCTTGGACCTTGGCCTTGATTTGGACCAAAAGGTCTAGGACCTTGTCCTTGATTTGGACCAAATGGTCTAGGACCTTGTCCTTGATTTGGACCAAATGGTTGATTCATACCAGGCCCTTGTGGTCTAAGACCTTGTCCCATCAGTGGTTTTGGTCCTTGATTTTGGTTGTCCAGCATCTGTTCGGAATTTTGTTTTTCTTCAACCATTTTTTGATTTTCAGTTGATTTGTCATCAATTGGAGATTTTTCTTTGTCTTCCTTTTTCTCTAGATCTTTTTCCACTACTTGCACATCTTTTCCATCACCAAGTCCAGGAATTCCTTTCCCTGTTCCTAAACCAGATGTAGCATTCTTCTCAGAGAGGCCAAGAGCGAACTCTTTTTGTATTGGTCCAACTGGTTCTGTCATCTCCTTTTCCTGCAATAAAGGTAAATAATGAACAGTATTACAACATGATTGCTCTCAGTGGTAATGAACTATAAAGGATCCTATAAGGGTTAGACGACTATTTTCGCCCAGGTGACTGATTTGTATATCTTATTTTGCTGATCATTTTTAATATTTGAAGATTCTTTCTAACTGCTATAGTTTCTTCCAAAAAATGGGTTAAAATCAGTCTTCAAGGGCAACAACTCTTATAAGATATTGATTGACTATTTCATCTATGTTCTTCATGTGTGTGTATAGTGATATTGTGTGATATACCATTTTTTCTATAAAAGAATGCCACACAAATTTGAGTTTTCAAGACTAAATTTTCATCTTTTTCAAGAACGTGAAAATAAAAATTACAAGTAAATGTACCTATGATATAAATGTAAGTAACCAAAAAATATACTATAAAATGTAAAATTTTAAAATCCTACAAAAACAGCATTCTAATGTCCCTTGCTGATTCACATATTTAATATAAGCAAGGGAAAAGACTCCAACATTGCTTTTTTTTTCCTACAAGAAATGTAAGCATGTTATCACTGAAAAAGAAATTTTATAATTAAAGTTCTATTTCCCCTCAACGACAAAACCCCTAGAAATAGTTAACCAGTGCTGATCATTTAACTTTTACCAAGACATTGCAGATATAAAACTTCATTCAAGAAATGTAATATTGAGAGTACAATGCATTTTTCCATATAATTTATATTTCCAACTGGCATAACTCAGTTAAAAAATAGTAAGCACTAATTTTCAACATTTACGAGACTGCGAATTTCAACTTTTGATATAAAGTGTCATAAAAATCTGGCAAAAATTGAAAGCCTAGATGAATGCTCAGACATACCAAGGGGCTTAACTCCTGAAAAAATAGTTGCTCAGCACTTATTTCAAACTAGTTTGTACATGTGACGCATGATGTAGCTGTGGGGACAAACATTCTACAATATCAACTGCTTTCTAAAAACCTTACCTTTTTGGTCTGCTTTGCTTTGTTTTCCTCACTGAAAATATAACAGAAAAAAATTAAACATGAATCCTGTATATTTCAATACATTTTACATAGCACTTGTGCAGACATCCAAACATTTAGTCCATTACTTGTGTTAACTAAGGTACTTACACAATAGACAAATTAAAAAAAGACTTAGATTTACTGTAAAGCATGCTAAATTCAAAACCTCAAGAATACCTATATTGTAATTTTCCGTGAAATGGCTAAAAATATGGTCTGTAAGTATAAAATTAACAAAATGACATCAGTTAATATCTGGTTTCCCCATAAATGATGTAAAACTTTGGAAATAGAATATGAAATATTTTACCATGAGCGATAGCCTACTTATACAATAACCTACTTAGATAGGCTTGGATGAATTTAAATGATAATCTTACTTATATGTAAAAAAATTGTCTTTTAACATATTTTATCATCGTTTGTTTATGATTCCTTGTTTTTCACAACTGTGCATTTTCCCGTAAAATGCTTATATTCTTTCAACATCGTTCAATGATGTCATTTACACTGATTGACGTCCGGTAGCTCAATCATAAATAAACTGCTTCGCTGAGCACAGCTGGATACGCCCGCAGAGGTCCAACCCTGAACAGTTGGGGCAAAAATGGACACAATATTCAAGCTTGATACAGGTCTGAATTTGGATTGTAATTAAATATTTGACATATTATATGTTTCTGAATAAATGTAGTCAAAGAACTTGAAATTAGTTATATGAATTGAATTTATATTCAATTAAAGATTTCTTGCTGTTGTGCAATACACTATGCTGTTGCGCAATACTTAGTAGATCTGTTGTCAGACTATAAACAAATAAAGTTCAATTTCTTCTCAATGTCATATTTGAAATTTATGAAAATCAATAGGGAGATTACATCAATAACTATAAATAATTCACCAAAGTTTCATGAGAATTGCTGAAAGCATTTTTGAGTTATTGTCTGAAAACTGGAAAATACCCCTTTTTTAATGAATAAAACCCCATAACTTGGAAATGTAAAATCTAAAATTCATAAAATTCTAAAGGGAGCTTACATCAATAGATATCAACAATTCATCAAAGTTTTATGAGAACTGCTGAAAGCATTTTTGAGTTATTATCCGAAAACTGGAAAATCCCCCTTTTTTTTATGAATAAAACCCCGTAACTTGGAAACGTAAAATCTAAAATTTATAAAAATCAAAAGGGAGCTCATGTCAATAGATATAAACAATTAACCAAAATTTCTTGCAAGTTGGTGAAAGCATTCTTGAGTTATTGTCCGAAAACTGGAAAACCCCCCTTTTTTTAATGAATAAAACCACATAACTCGGAAACGTTAAATCTAAAATTTATAAAAAACGAAAGGGAGCTCACGTCAATAGATATAAACAATTCATCAAAATTATATGCAAATTGGTTAAAGCGTTTTTGAGTTAATGTCTGACATGTTGACGACGGACGGACAGACGGACAACGGTATACCATAATACGTCCCGTAAACGGGCGTATAAAAAGCATATGACATGGGAGTATGAGCGGAACAGCCCAAACAAATCATGACATTGTCGATCAGCTGACATACAATATATTCATATTTGACCATGGGTGTGTATGCAAAGCGTTTGAAGAGCGTCATATTAGAATTTTCATTTAACTACCTCATGTAAACTGCATGCAACTGAATATCTTATTCTTATGTTTATAGGTTGCACGTTGTAAATAGAGCTGTTTCTCTAACCACGCCTCTTTTGGGGAGATATATAATATTCATAGAAAATTAATTTTGTTTACGTACTGGTTCCCAGTTATGATCTGTATGTTTCATCTCATAGAGACATAACTTGGGAATGTTACCAGTAAATATACATACATGTATGCATATCGGTGATATTGAAATCTGTGGTAGTCCTAAAGTCAGTTAGGGGTAGTTAAGAAATTCAGTGTTAGTTTAAACTCTTAGAAGTTCAGGGCATATGAACGTTGAAAATATGCCACACAGCCCTATATTTTGACCTTTGAAAAAAATAGTAGTGCATATAAACTTTCCATTCTAGGATATCATTTTTTTCAAAACTTCATAGTAAAAGTTTTAGCCGTAAAAAGAGTTCCTATAGAAAATTGTATTGTCAATATTTACAGAAATGCAACCTATAACCAGCTTTGACATTGTTCTCATTTGATGTTATTTTCTGTTAACATGTTTGCAAGTACTATTGTTTGTCTGTTGGTCTTTTTCTTTTTTAGCCATGGCGTTGTCAGTTTATTTTCGACTTATGAGTTTGAATGTCCCTCTGGTATCTTTCGCCTCTCTTTCTCTTAAATTACTCTGCATTCAAATTTTAACTAATACAAAGGAGTAGGTTCGATTTGCCCTAATATGGCCCCTATTTCTTGCAAAACTTTTCAAAAAAGAATTTAATGACCATAATCACAAGGTATTTTGTTCATTGGTTTGTTATTGAAACTTAAAGTCTTACGTAACATTTTCCAAAACCATGAACCAAATTAGAGGCGTGTGGATTTACTCTTCATGGTGTAATATTTTGTCGATTAAGGTGAACAATGAAATAATGTATTGAAAAAATAGGCTTTAATGCAGAATCGTTCATGTATTTTTCAAATATAATTTTCCTCAATTCAAGAAATAACGAAAATTAATCAATCCACCATTGTCCACAGTAATTGCAAATGCTTACTTGATTATACAAATGGAAACTCTTGGTAAATCTATAGATTGCCCACTCCATAGGGTAGGCAGGAATGGAGTGGGCAGGATGGACAAACTAGCAGGGTCTGCCCATCCTGTGTCTACTCCTAGGTTTAGGACTGTCAAAAAAGCAAATCCACCTATAAAGCTGAAATGAAATACATACCCTTTATCTTGCTCATCACTTCTTTGTTCCATTTCATCATTTTTATTTATTGGAGCTGGTGGTTTATCAAACCTAATATCCATTAATGATATAGGTCCCCCTTTTAGTGGCATTCTCTGTGGAGCATTTCCCAACTGTTTCATCTGGTTTGGATTTGGCATCTGTCCTCTTGGTCCTCCTCCTCCCATTCCCCGAGGATTTCCCATATTTTGAAAATTTCCTCTCATCTGCATATTGTTATTTGGACTGGGTCCTCTCAACATCCTATTAGAACCATTGCCTCTCATATTCATGTTTTGCATTCTACGGAATTGATTTGGACCTCCCATCATGTTCCCATCCATGCTTTCTTCAGAAATCTCTTCCTCATCTTCATCGTTAGCCATCATCTGCACAATATCTGGTCGTCTAAATGGATTGTCCACTGGGGTCGGAAAAGAATTTTCAGAATCATCTTCTAAACACATGTCCTCTTCTCCCCCTTCATCTTGAAAGTTATCTCCTTGGCCTTCCTCCTCACCATACATATTTTGCTGTCTAAACTGATTTTCAGGAGTCATTGGTCTTGGACCCCTCATCAACGGTCCTCTTGGTCCAGGCATTCTATTCATTTGATTTTGATTCTGCATGTTATTAAAGCCTGGACCACCAGGAAATCTTTGTCTTGGTCCTCCAAATCCAGATTGATTCTGGTTCATTCCACCTTTTTGTTGTTCCTCACTAACCATTCTAATTTGGCCTCTGGGACCAGGCCCTCCCATCCTCATCTGTTGAGGATTTTGCATTCTCATGTTATCATTTGGTTGAAAACGCATCCGCTGCCCACCAGGTCCATCCATTCTTTGTGGATTACTTTGTCTCATTCCCATTGGTCCACCCATCCTCATCTGACCTTGTTTCTGTGGCATCATTCCTTGACCACCTATACCTTGTTGATTTGGTGGCATTCCCTGTTGACTTGTTGGCATTCCTTGCTGATTTGGTGTCATGCCCTGTTGACTTGTTGGCAATCCTTGCTGATTTGGCATTATGCCCTGTTGATTTGGTGGCATTCCTTGATGATTCAATGTGATGCTTTGTTGATTCGGTGGAATTGCTGGCTGGTTATGTCCCATGCCTAGCTGATTTTGAGGTAAACCTGGCTGACTAGGTGGCATTCCAGGAGGGTGCTGTAGTATTCCTTGTTGGTTAAGCATCGGAGCCTGTTGATTAGGGGGCATTCCTTGTTGTTGTGGCACCATCAATGGCTGTTGCATTCCAGGTTGAACAACTGGCATTCCTGGTGGTTGGGGTTGCTGTTGTGCCATGGCCATATTACTCTGGACTACTGTTTTTCTTTGTTGGATATCTCTTTTCTTATCCTCCATTTGTTGTTCATACTGTTGCCATTGTGCTTCATACTGTTTGAATTGTTCTTTATTTGGATGATCTGGAAATAAAAATATCAAATATTCAGATGTCAAGGAACATACCTTCATCAAGAATTTCTTTAAAAAAATAATTTAATACAGCTTTTGATTATAGCAGGACAACATATATATGACTACCCAACTTTTTTTTATATTGATCAGTGGAGAACCTACTTAAAAACAGAATAAACCAAGGATCCTGAAATTTGTTCACACAATTTCAGTCATTTTGAGATGACTGGGCCCTTTTTCTATTCAATAAAAATTTGAACTTTTAAATTGGAATGGCCGATTGTCTTTGATGAAAATTTATTAGAAAATGATAAATATCTTGTCAAGGAACAGAATTTCATAATAATATAAGTATGAGCTTGATCACTACTGTCAAGTATGTCTGAGAACAGGTAAAAAGTGATTAGCCATCATAAGCAGATATCTCCTGGAGGCATTAATAGGATACATCTGGAATACCATACTATACCTGAGTGGCAGTTTATTACCGGAAAAACATTGCAAAACAACAATAAGAGAAAAATACTGATTAAAAAACCTTGATCTCATTAAAATAACTAAAATTATTTCTATGAAAAATGTTTCAAGACTTAATCCTAATCTGAAATTTTGGTCAAAAAGGTAACTTTCAGTCTAGGTCATGTCTGACAAATATGACTGTTCCAAAACCCTTTGTATGTACCTGTTGTTCTTTTCACAAACAATATTGTGTTTAAAACTGAATGTAGGTACTACTGAAATGTTCAGGAACTCAAAGCTTTCTTTCTTGTAAGATCTTTTTGTGAAGTTGATCACTGATGGCTAATTATACAGTAGAAGTTCCTTCAGGAAATAATGTGTATGGAAAAGTTTTAGATGTATCTGCTGTTTTTAAATGGTGATGCACAGAGTTTTTGAGAGAAAAAAAAAGAACCATAAAATTTGTATACTTTATTTTTTTCGTATAAGTAAAAGGAGATCCCACTAAAATGAACAAATACTGGACATGCTGGATGTGAACAGGAATTCCTTTCAGAAAATAATTTTCCAGCAATCCATTTCCAAGAAGAGTTAAAAGAACCAATATTAATACTCTTCCACAGAAGTTAAGTCACTCGTTGAAGTATTTTCATGGGATTTTTTAAAAATTAGTATGTACTAGTATACCAATCAAATCAACAGTGAAAACAGCTTAAATTAAAAGAGAATAATTATAGGCCGTACGGGTTTTTCTCATTGTTGAAGGCTGTACGGTTGCCTATAATTGCTTACATCAACTTCATTAGAACTTTGGTGGATAGTTGTCTCATTGGCAATCATACCACATCTCCTTATCTTTATATAAACTTGAAGTGAACAAATAGATATAGCAGTGACACATAAATTCATTACAAAAAGAGCTGAAGGGCAAATATTATAAACAATTGCCTTATTCAAAAAATAACTTGTTGGTTCATGAGAAAGATTTTTTTCATTAGTCATTTGAAAGAGTGGCAAAATGAAATAAATACTTTGATTTTGATTTTTCCAGTCTTCATACTGCTGTTTCCATTGACTGTACTGTTGCTCAAACTCTGCTTCTTCTTTCTGTAACGCTTCAAACTGTACTTTTGCATCTTCCCCTGTAACTATAAAAACATTTGTATTAACCTTTTTTAAAACCTAAAAATGATTTTCTGTGTCACTCAGTACTGCCTTCAATAAACTGTTGACACATAGCATGTCTTGCTTGTGTATTTTTGATATTTTACCACAAACAGTATGGATATAAAATTATTTATTTTGTAAATATATTTCCTTTCTCTATTTGAACTGTACATGTATACCTAACAACAAAATTCTTTTCATTAACCTGTGTTTAAAGTAATTGTAAAGTAGTTGTCGTTTGTTGATGTGGTTCATAAGTGTTTCTCGTTTCTCGTTTTTTTATATAGATTAGACCGTTGGTTTTCCCTTTTAAATGGTTTTACACTAGTAGTTTTTGGGGCCCTTTCTAGCATGCTGTTCGGTGTGAGCCAAGGCTCCGTGTTGAAGACCGTACTTTGATCTATAATGGTTTACTTTTATAAATTTTGACTTGGATGGAGAGTTGTCTCATTGGCACTCATACCACATCTTCTTATATCCATATATGTCAATGACACAGCAGCTCATTGACAAACAACACAAATAACCAAAAGAAATCTGCATGCATCCAGTACCTTGTCAATCTATATCAATTACACATAAAACACTTCAACAACTTGCATGCAAAATTGGACCATTTGGATCTGCTTACCCTTACCTGAGATCACCCTGAGTTTTTGGTGGGGTTTGTGTTGCTCAGTCTTTAGTTTTCTATGTTGTGTTTTGTGTATTATTGTTTGTCTGTTGGTTTTTTCTTTTTTAGCCATGGCGTTGTCAGTTTATTTTCGACTGATGAAATTGAATGTCCCTCTGGTATCTTTTGCCTCACTTTTAAAGCTATTTTCCTAACTTAATCTCCCCAACTTCATTAATTATATATCTTGTTAAAAAAATTGCTTTTTAAAATTATTGCCTAAAATTGTGAGTCTTCTTCATCAGTCAGGGATATAACTCTTATAGGGTTATTAGAGAAAATATCTTGCATGTTTTATTACAGATACTTTTATCTTTTACTGTTGTCTACTCTTTATTCCTTATACATGTTAAATTTTCTTAATCTGTAGTAACATGTTTGTTATTTGTTAAATAAATCATAAATATTTCAATTTTTAGTGGGCACTTGGGAATTCTTGAAACTTTGTGCAGAAACTAAATATATAGCCTTGAAAACTAATTTTCGATTTAAATTAATACATTTTTCATCAATCATGGTAATTCAATGGGACAAGGCTTTTAAGGGATAAACTTAGCTGTAATAACAAGGCTTAGTTATTAAAGCCATGTAACTTATTATATGAGACACTTGGGAATTTCTGGGAAGCTTGCGCAGAACCTCATTACATGCTCTGATCATTATTTCTTACGATAAATTAAAATACATTGTGATTAAGTATGATGTATGTCTGAATAAAGGCTTTGAAGTGATGTAGAGAAGAGTAATAACACACTTTAGTTATTACAGGCTTATTTTTTCTGTAATTTTTTTCTGTAATAACATAGGTGTACTATGCATGATTGGCAAACTATGAACTGTTATATCTTTCAATAGTTAAGAATACATAAAGACAATAAAAATATCAATAGAACTTGTATACATTCTAACAAAACAAATGATGTTTACTGGCCCTTTGAAACATGTAACATACATTTGTTATCACAGTTCTCTGATTTTTTATTCCACAATAATAAATGTATGTTATTTTTCTCTAATAACCCTATAGTTATATCCTTGACTGTTCATTATGTTCAAATAAATGTCACTATTGCATTATTTGTGTTGTTAGGTTGCTATGAGTATTGTCATGTAAGTCATTGACATTAACCCCAGTTATATCAAGAAAGAATTGGGATGTTAAATACATTGCCCTGTGTAGGGGTTGTGACATGATCGCTTCAAATTTTTAATAAGATCTGGCAATAACTGTGTCACAGTTTAATAGGTAATTTGTGGTTATGCAAAATTTCTGTTCCCCCCCCCCCCCCGACATGTTTTTAATAATCACCGTTTTTTATTTCTCTCATCTAATATCTGTATGAAATATTTGACTCAATATATATATATATATGTGCAATTCATTTCAAGTAGGCTGTAATAATTGCATTTTTTTCCATGTCTCTGTCCATATCATAAACTTTGAATCATACAATGGCTTGTTTTCGTGACTATTTTTAAATATCAAATCAAATCAAATCAAATATTTTATTGTCGTATAAACTTTACAGTTTGTGACCAACATGTATTAACACAATAAACATATACAATGTATACATACATATCAAACAAACACAATATAAACAGCATCAAAATTTATAAAAACAAACAAGCTGTTAAGAGTCCCCTGCCCTCAGTTCTAATGACTTTTTCAAGAAGGATCCTAACTTACTTGTTTGTAAAGGCATTGATGGATTTAGTAAATAATGAATTTTTTCTTCTTCATTTAAATTATTAAAGTTATTATTTTCAGTACATATGTGTTCAAAAAAGGCATTTCTTAGTGTTTTATTATAATCACAATAGAGTAAAAAATGTTTCTCATCCTCTAATATTTTACATTTATGACAAAGTCGTTCCTCTCTTGGGATTTTAAAATATCTCCCCTTTTCAATTGAGAGGGAGTGTAATTAAATTTACATGTACATTGGTTAAATTTTTGGGGTACAAGTTCAAGAGTGGTTAAATTTTCCAAAATTTAGAAACCAAGAAAGGCCAAAAAAATCCTATTTTCACAAAATTATATTATTTGAAAATTTTGGTATTTTCAAACATTTAATTACTCCCTAGTTTCTACATCTTTCATGACCTTATTATGTTAAAACATAATTCTATTGTCTTCCGCTTTTCTAAAACACAAATGGTTAGCTTCAGAAAAATTTCAAATAATCATATGACACAACATCAAATGCTCTTTTTCAGGCAGATGACAGACATTTAAATCACTATACATGTAAACGTTTAAACCAACTGCATTTTTATGCACCTGTCCTAAAGTCAGAAGCCTCTTATTCAGTGGTTGTCGTTTGTTGGTGTGGTTCATAGGTGTTTTTTGTTTTTTATATAGATTAGACCGTTGGTTTTCCAGTTTGAATTGTTTTACACTTGTCATTTTGGGGCCCTTTATAGTTTGCTGTTCGGTGTGAGCCAAGGGTCCGTTTTGAACGCTGTAATTTGACCTATAATAGTTAACTTTTTATACATTGTGACTTGGATGGAGAGTTGTCTCATTGGCACTCATACCACATCTTCTTATTTACATAATTTATATACATACATATCAAATTATGTTTTAAAAAGTCTTCTTAATAATTTAATAAAATGCTTCGCTGGGGCGCAGCTTGATACGACCGCAGAGGTCGAACCCTGAACAGTTGGGGCAAGTATGGACACAACATTCAAGCTTGATACAGCTCTGAATTTGGATTGTTATTAAATATTTGACACAGCATAGGTTTCTGACACAGAAAGAATGTGGTCTAAGAACTTGAATTTTTTTAATTTACCTATTATGGTCCAATGTCCAAAATCAAAAAACATGGTTAGATTCAGCATATCAAAGAACCCCATATATTCAATTTTTGTTAAAATCAAACAAAGTTTAATTTTGGACCCCAACTTGGACAAACTTGAAAACTGGGCCCATAATAAAAAATCTAAACATATGTTTAGATTCAGCATATCAAAGAACCCCAAGAAATCAATTTTTGCTAAAATCAAACTAAGTTTAATTTTGGACCCTTTGGACCTTAATGTAGACCAATTTAAAAAACGGGACTTAAAATTAAAAATCTAAATACACGGTTAGATTTGGAATATCAAAGAACCCCAATAATTCAATTTTTCATGAAATCAAACAAAGTTTAATTTTGGACCCTTTTGACCTCAATATGAACCAATTTGATAGCGGGGCCCACAAATAAAAAATCTAAATTCATGGTTAGATTCAGCATATCAAAAAACCCCATATATTCAATTTTTGTTGAAATCAAAAAAAGTTTAATTTTGGACCCCAACTTGGACCAACTTGAAAACTGGGCCCATAATCAAAAATCTAAACAAATGTTTAGATTCAGCATATCAAAGAACCCCAAGAATTCAATTTTTGTTAAAATCAAACTAAGTTTAATTTTGGACCCTTTGGACCTCAATGAAGACCAATTTAAAAAACTGGACCCAAATTAAACATCTAAAAACACCGTTAGATTTGGCATATCAAAGAACCCCAATAATTCAATTTTTGATGAAATCAAACAAAGTTTAATTTTGGACCCTTTTGACCTCAATATGAACCAATTTGATAGCGGGGCCTACAAATAAAAAATCTAAATACATGGTTAGATTCAGCATATCAAAGAACCCCATATATTCAATTTTTGTTGAAATCAAACAAAGTTTAAATACTAGACCCTATCTTGGACCAACTTGAAAACTGGGCCCATAATCAAAAATCTAAACACATGTTTAGATTCAGCATATCAAAGAACCCCAAGAATTCAATTTTTGTTAAAATCAAACTAAGTTTAATTTTGGACCCTTTGGACCTTAATGTAGACCAATTTAAAAAACAGGACCCAAAATTAAAAATCTAAATACACGGTTAGATTTGGAATATCAAAGAGCCCCAATAATTCAATTTTAGATGAAATCAAACAAAGTTTAATTTTGGACCCTTTTGACCTCAATATGAACCAATTTGATAACGGGGTCCACAAATAAAAAATCTAAATACATGGTTAGATTCAGCATATCAAAGAACCCCATATATTCAATTTTTGTTGAAATCAAACAAAGTTTAATTTTGGACCCCAATTTGGACCAACTTGAAAACTGGGCCAAAAATCAAAAATCTAAATACATGTTTAGATTCAGCATATCAAAGAACCTCATATATTCAATTTTTGCTAAAATCAAACAAAGTTTAATTTTGGACCCTTTGGACCTTAATGTAGACTATTTTGAAAACTGGACCCAAAATTAAAAATCTAAATACACTGTTAGATTCGGCATAACAAATAAATAAATGTGATCAAAGATTTTACAAATCTAATGCGCCATACTGTGCAATTAAAGATTACTTCTTGAAATTTTTCAATATTTGAAATTTGAAAAAAAAATAATATTTGAAGAATAATTCTTTTTAATTTCTGAAATCTGAAATGAGAAAAAATTGACCCCCCCACAATTTCTTTTTATCCCCCACCCCCCTTTTTCCCCCAAAAAATTCTTTCCCTCAAGATATGGTCATAATCTCAATTCAAATTTCCAATGGAGTTGGCAACCATAATTACCCATTTAATTTTACCATAGTGCTAACTTAATCTATTTTATAATAGAATTAAAAATATAGTGTCAAATCTTTCATATGGATTTTTTTGTAAAATAAAATGATGCAACATTTGCAGATATTTTTACTGGTCTTCCTTTATAAATATGCATTTCTTTAAACATAATTTAAAAGCAGTGTAAGGGAAGTAACCAAAATGTTGTATTTGGATTACCTCCCTTACATTGTTTTAAATTATCTTTATTGTTCATTAACCATTACTTTATACATAATTTAAAAGCAGTGTAAGGGAGATAATTTCAATGATGTATTTGATTTATCTCCCTTACACTGCTTTAAATTATGTTTTGTACTAAAGTATTTGTCCATTAACCAGGACAACCTTGTTTTTCCCCCTTTTTTGCCCCTAATTCCTAAACGGTTTGAGCCATAACCCCCCAAAGCAAATCCTAACCATCCCTTTGTGGTATGGAAACTTGTAGTATAATTTCAGAGAGATCCATACACTGTTCCACAGTTATTGTCTGGAAACTAGAAAATGCTTATTTTTGGCCCCTTTTTGGCCCCTAATTCCTAAACTGTTGGTACCATAACCCCCAAAATCAATCCCAACCTTCCTTTTGTGGTATTTAACCTTATGGTAAAATTTCAAAAAGATCCATTCACTTAAACTAAAGTTAGAGTGCGAAAACCAATGTGTATTCGGACGACGACGCAGGACGACGACGACGACGCCGGACGACGACGACGACGACGACGACGACGCCAACGTCATACCAATATACGACCACAAAAATTTTTTTGCGGTCGTATAAAAAGGATTGTTTTATTTACCAGGAGCAGCAATCTGTGGTTGCTGATATTGTTGAGTATAGTCAGGCCATTGTTGCTGTGGTTGACCTTGTTGTTGAGGCCACTGTTGTGGCCATTGTTGAGTGTGCTGCCACTGAGCTGCCTGTTGTTGTAAATCTGTTAATTTCTTTTGTTCTTCTGTTGTGACTGGTTTTAGTTCTTCTTGCTGAAAGAAAGATTTTAAATACTAAGGTCTTTTCCATTTGAGAACAATGAATCAAAACATAAGACTTTGAATGTAATTATATATACCGTCCCCCGGTAGGTGTAATTATTAATTTTTGTTTTTCCAATTATTGGTGCAAGAAATTCCTGATGATGATGGATTCACAAAAATACATATTTGTGTAAATAATAAAAAATTCTCCTTTGTTTAACTAGTACTACTATGTCTACAACTACTGAATTGTTTTATGAACATAATCCGCCTAATATTGAATATTTATGTTTTAGCAATGGTCAAGCAAGTCTGCACTAAATTACTACTAGTCCGATTATCAACATTCCAACATCTTATTTATGTGTCTAAACAAAGTTTTACAAATATACAATTCCAAATAGAATTTTACTTGTCTGGGGCATCAGACAAGTGGCTAACGGTGCAGATTGAAGCAAAAGGTCAGGATTATTGTGTACCGGTACATATTTCATGGTTTCTCTGTTGGAGTGTTTTGAAAATTGGACACAAACTGACCTTAAATCTCCCACAGGCAAAATTGACCTTTGAATGGTTTTGACTATCTTCGATAACCTAGGCATTACTTATGAAGTAAGGACCAAAAGTAGCAAAAAATGTATGATTTGCTCTTTACTACCTGAACTTAACATGCTTTAGGTGACCTATAGTTGTTAACTTCTCTATCATTTGGTCTCTGGTGGAGAGTTGTCTTATTGGCAATTATACCACATCTTCTTATTTTTATTTCCTATCGAAGGTCTGTGGTTTTCTCCAGGCAATCCGGCTCCATCGAAACCAATAAAAACTGGCCGCCACGAAATAGCCCAAAAGCAGTGCTTAAATGTGGCGTTAAAACACCAAAAATCAAAATCTTATTTTTATATTTAGATAAATATCCCACTTTTTTTTATTATTTTATATTTAACAGGTTTCTTTGATTCTATACATGAGAAATCATCAAATCTCTCTATACATTTGTAATTTGATTTAGAATTTAATTTCAATTATAGGGTGGCAGCTTTTCACAATTCCCGTATTAATTCAAAAAAGGAAATGTCGGGATCTGAATCTAATCTCAGCTTCTGCAGCTTTCTTCAGAGACAAGAACCTGCAGGTACAATTAAAAACAAATTTTCAAGGCTCATCACGAAAGTGTACCTGTATATATTTTATAATTTAACATTGCACTCACTGAGCTTTCAAAGGGTGATGATGGATAAGTATCAAGTGGCAAATATTACATGCATATCAGGATAAGAATATCTTATTGTGTTTAGAACACTGTTTTACACAAGACTAGCACACAGAGACAGATTTTTAATGTGCTACTTCACAATGTTATAGTATCCAAGAATACATGTCAACCGACCAGACACATTATTCAAACCTGTGCCAACCTCCATTTAAGTTGACACTTAAGATTAGTGTGTAACAGATCATTGGAAACAAGGACTAATTGGTTGCTCAAGGTTCATTAATATGTACTGTAAATTCAGAAATTATTGCGATGTTTTTATTATTGCGAAAAATGCGACAGGGTTATAATCGCAATAATTTAAACTCGCATTTTGAAATGTTTGATATGAATTAAACAGGATTTTTCTCAATATCGCAAAAATTAAAATCGCATTTTAGTCTTAAATGACAAAATCGCAATAATAAATGCACGCAATAATTTCTGAATTTACAGTAATCCATTTGCATCTCTTCAATTTATGATTTGTATTTTTGATGCTTTGAAAACTATTTTTTCGTTTGGGCTTGTATTATATTTGCCTTCGGGTTTATATAATCCGTTCATCCTATTTCGACTCTTCAAAATTCAAGAGTCTATCTTAAATTGAGGTAAATTTTATGGCCTTCCAAATACTGTTTCGATTCCTAACATCACTGAAAAGACATTAATTGTCGAAATGCGGATATATCATATAGTGTACCAATTTTTGCACCTCATGTTTGCGGTATACCATCATTTCCACAAGTTTATTGTTTTCTGTTTGGTATTAAATTAATAATTAAGATCCATTTTGTTACATCTGGTGATCCATTTATTTTGCAATCGCCGTGGCAGTCAGCAGGGTTTAAGAACATCCATTCTTCGACCTGCTAGTCAAATGCATTTTGTTAAAATATACTTTTTCACTTATTTGTTCTTTTGGAAAATGTTGTTTGTGCTGTATTTAGACCCCTCTACCAAGAAATTTGTTTTGCATGCACACATATAAAAATTGCGGTTTTTATCCAACGCAATCATAGGTTTAAACGTTGTTTTCAATTTAGACTTGTATATAATGATGTATATATAATGATAAACCAGAAGTATTCATTTGTAATTTTTCCTGTGTTGATAAAAGTCTAGTATGTCAATTGAACATAAGATAAAAATAAAATTACCTGAGGCAGTTCTATTTAATTTTGAATTACTAAGCATGCTAAGAACTTGCAACAAAAGCACAGACAATAAAGGCTATTATGATGGTATTCTAATTTTCAACAGCCATCCAGACCGCATACATTTCTTAAATCTGGATGGATGGCTGTTTAACATCCAGTGGCAAGTTGAATACATATTAAGGATGAGAACATTATAATATGATATGAATATAAATCTTGCTTTGTACTAGACCAACAGGCTGAGCCTGATTTTTAACTTGCTACTTCACAAGGTAACGTACAGTCTGCAGGAAGACATGTCCCCTTACCCGGACACATTATTCCGACAAGCCTTTGCTCTTACTCCTAAATGCTGTGTGCTTCTCAGAGAAGTAGCAAATACTGATTTTCAATTCTTCGGATATCACCCAGCTGGGGTTTAAAATCAAACCCATGACTTCCCGCACCCAAGGCAAGCAAGCTCCCAATAGACCACTGAGGCCGTTCCTTTAAACACAATGCATAATCAGGCAGTCTTCACCCTCAAACACAGGCCAACCAGACAGGCTTGTAAATATGCTGTTATGCCTATAAAAAATCATCTTTACAGGCCAATAGAATCAACTAAAATTTTCGTATAAATCAGCTTCGGGCCTGTAGATTCAAAAGTTTATTGGAAGACTGATCCAGAATAAAATAAATGGGGAATGTGTCCATGGGACACAGATGATGCCCCCGCTTGCATATCATATAAAGTTATAAAGGGACATAACTGAAGAACGGTAAGTTTCATAACATTCGGTTAACATGGTTAAGGCTAACTTAAGTTAGAGAACGGAAACGAAAAATTCAGCAATTTTTCCATTTGTAAAGGGGAATAACTCTAGAATGATTAAAGTGATGCAACCAAAATTCAAACTTGTTTTGTGGTAATTAATAAGAATTGTGTATTAGTTTCATAAAATTTGGTTGAGGCAAACTAAAGTTAGAGAACGGAAACAAAAAATTCAGCAATTTTTCGATTTGTAAAGGGGCATACCTCTAGAACCTTTAAAGTGACGCCAACAAAATTCAAACTTGATCTGTGTTTTGTGGTAATAAGCATTTTTTATAAGTTTCATAACATTTGGTTTGGGCAAACTAAAGTTAGAGAAAGGAAACCAACTTTGGGACGTACGGACAGACAAGGGTAACACTGAATGCCCCCTCCGCTACGGCGGGGGCATAAAAAATTTAATTACAGTAAGTTGATACCTGATTGGGGTACAAAAGCCTTTCATTGGGTCTTTGATCCCAAACTGCAAACAAGAAAACCTTTAGTCCACATACTCATATAACTGTTATAAATTATATAAAGTTCAGTACATAAAATTAAGAATGGAAACAGGGAATGTGTCAAAGAGACAACAACCCAACCAAAGAGCAGAAAACATCCCAAGGCCACCAAAGGCCAAAAAAAAATATATGTGTGGTTCCAGTTACCCGACCAAACCTAGTTTAAACCCCCCGACCCTAGAACTTTTTTTTCAATTCTGTAAAATAAATTTTGAAAGATCCCATTTTGTGGAATGTGAATTTCAATAATTAAATTTACAGATTTCTGTCATCTGAATTTCCATTAGGATTATCCACCACAGCTAAAAATGCAACAAAATTAATTTTACGACCAAACATATAAATAAATTGGGAATGTATCCATGGGACACAGATGATGCCCCATTGTGTATGAGCATGATAAGTTTCGTAACATTCAGTTGATGCTAACTTAAGTAAGAGAACGGAAACAAAAAATTTGTAAAGGGGCATAACTCTGGAATGGTAAAAGTGATGCCACCAAAATTCAAACTTGATCTGTGTTTTGTGGTAATAAGCAATGTGTATAAGTTTTATGACATTTGGTGGAGGCTAACTAAAGTAAGAGAACGGAAACCAATTTCGGGACCTGCGGACAGACAGATGAAGAGACGGACAAGGGTAAAACTCAAATGGCGAACTTCCAGTTGTGGCTAGTATAATACAGGAATCTGACTCGGGGAACATGATTTTTTACCAGATTTTGACAATCCCCTCCTAAAAAAATGCTGACCTACCGACCCTATCTTTTTTGAGGATGCAACTGAAACCACACATATATTTTTTATTTGGCCAAAGGGTCTTCAACACAACCAGAAAATCCCGCACCCAGAGGCAGGCTTCAGCTTGACCCTTAACAAAAATGTATACTAGTTCAGCGAAAATGGATGTCTCACTAAACTCCGAAATATATTAATGAACCGAAATTAAAAGTACAAACAAAGTCCAGAGGTTCCTGACTTGGGATAGGCGCAAAAAATGCAGCGAGGTTAAACATGAATTGTAAGATCTCAACCCACCCCCAATACCTCTAGCTAATGTAGAATTAACAAACTCACAGCAATAATTTATACAGTTATAACTTTATATATATACACACACATGTATAATTTTCATAAAATAGATTGTCAAGATGTATTTGACCGAGACGGTTACCTTCTCTTCCTCTGCTGGTGGTTGTGGTGGTGGTTCTGGAGGCAATGGTGGCTTCTCCTCTGACGGGGGTGGTGGGGCTGCTTCTGGCAGAGGTGGCATGCTAGTTGGGACTGGTGGCTGAACGACGCCGGCTGGATTTTGTATTGGATTTTGCTGTTGGTAGTACCACTGGTACATTTGCTGTTGATATTGGTTATACTGCATTTGTTGGGCGGGAACAGCCGCTCCCATTTGTTGCCAGTTTGGATACATTTTGAGGTTTTGAGCTTTGTTTTAAAATCGAAACAAGCGTGGAATGGCGTCGCATACACTATCAAATTATCGGCCTTGAATCATATTTTTTTTCCTTGGTGCAAATAAATACCACAAAGACAATGCACGTTAGAACAAGAAAGTACCATTATAAAAAAGATAGTATATTCAATAACATGGATAATTCCAACTTCATTTAAGACAAAAGGTAATCATTACTCCTTACTGAAAGTGTAAAGCTGTTTGATAAAACTTAATATAACTACAAATAACTCTGCTGCCTTGATAAACTAAAATGTTTTCAACAAAGACATATTTCTTTTAAAGCTTAAATATTAAACAGAGACATTATATATATTATGTTTCTGTATATAATGTATGACTTTGAACATTCTTAAGTGTGATCAATGAAATAAGTAGAAGGAAATAGTTTGAAATAAATGAGAACAAGTAATGCAGTTCTGCCAACTTTTAATAATGAGGGGCCTGATGGGGGGTCTCATCACGATTCACAAGTTAATTTTTTTGTCAATCACGATTCACAGAAAATAAATTTCCATGATCACGGATCACGAAAATATAAAAGAAAAAAAAATCTGTAGAAAAACGGATCACGATAGTGAAAATGCGCCGATCACGAAGAACGAAAATAACCCATCAGGCCCCTCAATAATGCAAATGCGTGAGATTTGGCCAAAATCTTAAGATCAAAGAGAAAAAACAATAGATCAAAGGAAAATGCCGCCAAATAAGCATGAAAATGCGTGAGTCTCACGCTAAATAGCGTGAGACTTGGCAGCCCTGGTAATGGTAATTTAATGGACATTTTAATGGTATATATTTTGATGGTAAAACCATTTCTTTTATTTAAGGTAAGGGTAGCTACATGTAGTCTTTTCAATAACTGATTGGGATTCCATCGTTGATATATTCTATCTTGTCAGGGGCGGATCCAGGATTTTAGGTTAGGGGGGCGCAAACTAAATTTTTTTGAGGTAAAATTATCGAAAATATTCTTTACGCTGATGACAACCCAGCATGCTTTGCAAATTTTAGGGGGGGCGCACGCCCGCCACACCCCTGCCTGAATCTGCCCCTGCTTGTTGGGTCTAACTTTGATGTTTTTTCTGTTATACAAAACTGTTTTATTGTTCAATGGTTCATTGAAACAGGCCACACCTAAGTCTTGCTTTTACTTTCTTGAAGAGAGAGAAATCGAGAAAACTTATGTTAAAATTGTGATTTTTTTTTTTAGTAAAAACCTTTTAACAGTTAACCTAATTCTTTGTAAAACCATTATCTTTAATTTTCCAACCTGCACAGACACAACTTTTAAATTGTTATATATTCACAAAGAAGACAATATTTCTATATTGAAAGCTGATTCATCAATACTTGACAAGAGCAGAAAGGCATATCAAAGACTTAGATGTGGAAAATAGCTAGATTTTGGAACATGCTAAGGGCAATGTGGAACACTCAGAAAATTGGTGACTAAAAAAAGAGATAACAATTTTGTATGTACCCGATTTATTAAAAAAAAAAATTATCAATAAATGCAGCAAAGATTAATATTTTTCAAATTTCTGTTTCGAAAGCTTCTAATGCAATTATCTAGATAAATAATGAAAATAAAACATCATGTGTTTGCATGTATTTCTAATAACACAGTTTTTAAAACAAATACTTTATAACAGGAGATCTTAACATCGTTCAAGACCGAGAGTTAAAATCATTCCTCAGTAAAGGACCTAAATATCGTCCCCCGTCAATTATTAATTGGAATGAGTGTCGTAATATCATCCACGACTCACTCCATACTTACTGTTTGTTTGAAATGGATAAAACGGGAAAAAGCTGACAAAAAATTTTAGGGGGGGGGGCGCACGCCCGCCACACCCCTGCCTGAATCTGCCCCTGCTTGTTGGGTCTAACTTTGATGTTTTTCTGTTATACAAAACTGTTTTATTGTTCAATGGTTCATTGAAACAGGCCACACCTAAGTCTTGCTTTTACTTTCTTGAAGAGAGAGAAATCGAGAAAACTTATGTTAAAATTGTGATTTTTTTTTTAGTAAAAACCTTTTAACAGTTAACCTAATTCTTTGTAAAATCATTATCTTTAATTTTCCAACCTGCACAGACACAACTTTTAAATTGTTATATATTCACAAAGAAGACAATATTTCTATATTGAAAGCTGATTCATCAATACTTGACAAGAGCAGAAAGGCATATCAAAGACTTAGATGTGGAAAATAGTTAGATTTTGGAACATGCTAAGGGCAATGTGGAACACTCAGAAAATTGGTGACTAAAAAAAAGAGATAACAATTTTGTATGTACCCGATTTATTAAAAAAAAAAAATTATCAATTAATGCAGCAAAGATTAATATTTTTCAAATTTCTGTTTCGAAAGCTTCTAATGCAATTATCTAGATAAATAATGAAAATAAAACATCATGTGTTTGCATGTATTTCTAATAACACAGTTTTTAAAACAAATACTTTATAACAGGAGATCTTAACATCGTTCAAGACCGAGAGTTAAAATCATTCCTCAGTAAAGGACCTAAATATCGTCCCCCGTCAATTATTAATTGGAATGAGTGTCGTAATATCATCCACGACTCACTCCATACTTACTGTTTGAAATGGATAAAACGGGAAAAAGCTGACAAAAAATCTTTGGACTCTTTTTTTAAATCAGTAATGAACATAGTTGATATACGTATTCAACATTTTAAAGAACATTTTACTCTTAACAATAACCACAATAAACCTATTTCTCGTATCAAACATAAACTAAAAGAACTAGCCAAGGAATTTGTTTTTGTCCCGGCCGATAAAGCTGCTAATAATATTATTATTGTTTGACGTAAATTTTACATTGAGGTTCTGAAAAAAGAAATCACCAATTCACCAACATTCCAACTGACTCCATTTTCAGAAAACGACATCTGTAACAAACATTAACTTTTAGCTACCGCTTTACAAGCAGAACCAAATACAATGAAAGTCCCAACTATGTATTGGCTTCCGAAGCTACACAAAACACCTTACAAATATAGATTCATTTCGTCTTCAAGCCATTGTTCCACTACTAAATTGTCTATTCTTCTTACCAGTACACTTGGTACAATCAAAAACCTGATAATAAATTGTTCAAATAAGGCCTTCGAAAATAGTGGAATTAATTACTTTTGGAGTGTCAAGAACTCGTTGGAAGTACTTGATAAATTGCATGCATATATTGGCGATTTTGAATCTGTTCAAAGTTTTGATTTTTCTACCCTATATACCACATTGCCTCACATTCTCATTAAGAAAAAATTCACACACCTAATTAAATGGGCATTTAAAAAGTCAGAATGTGAATATATATGTTCAAACTCTTTTAGGTAATTTTTTAGTAGCAATAAACAAAAAAACTATGTCAATTGGACATGCTTTGATACTATATATGCCCTTGAATTTTTACTAGATAACATTTTTGTTCGCTTTGGAGATTCCGTATATCGTCAGGTTATCGGAATTCCAATGGGGACTAACTGTGCACCACTTATTGTGGACCTTTTTTTGTATTGCTATGAGTTACAATTTATGACAAAAATCAGTAAAGACCCATCGAAACAACATCTGATACACAAATTTAATAATACTTTTAGATATTTGGATGATATTTTGGCTCTCAATAATGACGACTTCAGTATGTATACTAAAGAAATTTATCCTGTTGAACTTACTTTAAATAAAGCTAATACTAACAATGACCACTGCCCTTTCCTCGATCTTGATATCTATATCATTAACGGAAAGCTTAATACTAAAATATATGATAAAAGAGATGATTTTTCATTTCCTATCGTTAATTATCCATTTTTAGATGGTGACGTTCCCTTGTCACCATCTTACGGTGTTTATATATCTCAACTTGTACGATTCGCTCGTGTATGTAACAATGTTTTAGATTTTAACGAGAGAAATTTATGTATTACTGAAAAATTATTACACCAGGGTTTTCGATATCACAAACTAGTCAAAACATTTACTAAATTTTATCATCGGTATAAGGACATCATTTGTAAATATAGCTCAACATGCAGACTTCTTATACGTTCAGGTATTTCACATCCAATTTTTTATGGAAATATTCTTTATAAAGCACAAAAATGTCAGTATTCACCTCTGAAACTAACAAAACCTTTAAATAGACTTATTAAGAAGGGATATAGTTACGATACTGTTGTCAGGTCATTAAAGATTGCATATTTTGGCGTTAATATTGATTCACTTATAGGGTCTTTGCATCGGCACTTAACACATTTATTTAAAAACCAGTTGTTGGCATGACACGGGTTATGTTCTTCTCATATATGTTATGATGGTATGATACTAAACCCCTAACGGGAAGGATTGTGCCTGATATTCATATGATGAAGACATAATCTTTCAATCAGTTTAATTGAAGTCTGGAGCTGGCATGTCAGTTAACTGCTAGTAGTCTGTTGTTATTTTATGTATTATTGTCATTTTGTTTATTTTCTTTGGTTACATCTTCTGACATCAGACTCGGACTTCTCTTGAACTGAATTTTAATGTGCGTATTGTTATGCGTTTACTTTTCTACATTGGCTAGAGGTATAGGGGGAGGGTTGAGATCTCATAAACATGTTTAACCCCGCCGCATTTTTGTGCCTGTCCCAAGTCAGGAGCCTCTAGCCTTTGTTAGTCTTGTATTATTTTTAATTTTAGTTTCTTGTGTACAATTTGGAGTTTAGTATGGCGTTCATTATCACTGAACTAGTATATATATTTGTTTAGGGGCCAGCTGAAGGACGCCTCCGGGTGCGGGAATTTCTCGCTGCATTGAAGACCTGTTGGTGGCCTTCTGCTGTTGTCTGTTCTGTGGTCGGGTTGTTGTCTCTTTGACACATTCCCCATTTCCATTCTCAATTTTATTTCTTTAAAATGTATGATTGTTGTTTAGAAATAACTTTCAATCATTATGATGACTATCATCACAAGCAATTGTTTTATTATTGATTTTGTTGACTTTTTCATATTAGAGTCATTTTTCTATTGTTCTCAAATCATCAGTTCTTTACTGAACATAAATGCTGACCTGTCTTAAGCATGTTTAGTTATTTACAACTTAATTGAAAGTCAAAGTTCTTTCTTGCCTTGTATTATTTTTCTTTGTCTATTTGGAAATCTGGAATTGTCTGTACCTTTGGACTCCCAAGGCAATTTATGTGACATTTAGGAGCATATGTCACTGACATTTATTTATTAATTAAAAACTTGATCACTTAACTTCTTTTATCATTTTTTTTATTTAGTTGTTAGGTTCCTGTCTAATTTTATCCAACCAATGGGTGCCAAAAGTGATAAGAAAATATATTTTTTTTTTATTATTATTGATACCAAGAAACATAACTATCCGAAGACATTCAAAGTAGCATATCTGTAGAACCTTCTAAAGACCTCTCCTGCATGGGTTGATGTGATTTCATTTCAAATGTTCTAGAAAATGAATTAAATATAGTTTTGAGGTAAACTTTTTCTGTTGACAGCAATTTAGAATTTCAGATTGGCACCAAAAAGTAACAACACTCTTTAATATCCTTCAAAGAAACATATCTTCCAAGTGGATTCAAATTTACATGTATTTGGTTTCAAGAATTACTAAAAATATTGGACAGTACAACAGACCACACCAACTACCATCATCCAACTTCATGATAATAAGGGAGCAATCATTTAAACTTGGGGGGGGGTTATGGTTTCTTGTCTGAGTCAGAAATTTTTTTTCGCACAAAGTGCAAACATTTTTTTGGTTTTTCGACACTAACAATCAAATTATTTTTTTCAAAATTTAACACTATAAGGTATGGGAAAAATCTGGTTTCAGAATATTTTTTTTTGTCATCTGCTTGATCACAATATTTTTTTTCCATCAAATTGGGGATCAGAATATTTAAAAAAAAAACACCAAAAAACCATACCCCCCCTCCCAACATTACTCATCAACTTTTCAATAGGTACAGGGGTGGATCCAGCCATTTTAAAAATGGGAGGTTCCAACACATACATGTTATACAACAAGAGGCTCTCAAGAGCCTGAATCGCTCACCTGTATTTCAGAGGAGAAGATTTTTAAATGTTAGCAAACTTGATGAACAAATTGTGTAAAATTGTCTTTAAAGGGCAATAACTCCTTAAGGGGTCAATTGACAATTACGGTCATATTAACTTTTTTGTAGATCTTACTTTGCTGAACATTATTGCTGCTTACAGTTAATATATATCTATAATAATATTCAAAATAATAACAAATAAAAACTGCAAAATTTTGTTAAAACTACCAATTCGGTGGCAGCAACCCAACAATGGGTTGTTCGATTTGTCTGAAAATTTCAGGGCCGATAGATCTTGACCAATTAAACAATTTTACCCCATGTCACATTTGCTCTAAAAGATTTAGTTTTTGAGATATAAGCCCAAAACTGCATTTGACCCTTATGTTCTATTTTTAGCCATGGCGGCCATGTTTGTCAATGGATACAAACTTCGGATACAATTTATAAACAAGATACCCTAAGGAACATTTAGTTAAAGTTTGAAGGTAATTGGCCAAGTAGTTTCAGAGGAGAAGATTTTTGAAATAGTTTACGACGACAGACGACAACAGACGACGACAACGACAGACGACGGATGCCAAGCGATGGCATAAGCTCACATGTGGCCCTTTGTGTCCTGGTGAGCTAAAAAGGGAGGATTCCAACCCATATGTCCGCATACAAATGCACAATTTGTTAAACAAAAAGGGGGTTACCCCTCTCCCTGGATCTGCCACTTAGGTATGACAAGTCAATTAAAACATTTCTCAAAAGGGGTGTTTCTATTTTCATGCATATTGCCAGACTTTTTAGCCTTGAATATATCTTAACTTTTGTTTAATGAGCTATTTATCAGCATCAAATTTAAATATTTGAAACAGTGGTATTTAAGGATAATAACGCTGTTAAAACATTTTTCAAAAGTTAACATCTAGACATGTTGTGTCTAAGACTCATTGCAACCAAGAGTTACCCAAGAAGCATTCTGCAAGTCCTTTCACACAGTCACCTATTAGAAGATAAAGTTTCATTATATAATTGATTCCTGTTAATTGCATACCCTTCTTGTCAGAAAAAGTTATGCAATTAAGCAGATTATGTTTATAACAGAAATCATTATTTTGGGGTAACGTCAGAACAGAAGTAAAGGAAATACGACAATAAACTGGGATCCACACATATATCACTGATTTTTCACTGTCACAGATTATCATATCCCTTTTAGTCCAGCAGCTTCAAAAAGGAAGGATAGAGAGTTTTGGTTGAATTTTCAATATCAGAGTAGCAAATTCCTATTATAAGATTTCTTGAGAAAAAATATTTTTTTTTTTTGTAAACTGGAAAAAAAAAGACAAAAAAGTAATTTTTATGAATTTGTTTAATAAAACAAACTTTAAATCTTATAACAATTTTTTTGCTATCATCAATATAAGCACATAAAACCATAACCTGGTACATTGTTTTGCGTAAAATACATTTTATTAAATGATATAACATAATTGAACACATCTGAAAAACACTGCACCCTAAAAAGTTTGCATTTACACAAATTTTGCAATTCAAATACACTTAACTCTTTCATTTTCAGTTTTGGTGAGATTATAAAAAGACAAACCAAATGGAGACAGCATGGGAAAGATGAAATAAAAATAAAAAAATTTCTAAAAAGGTAAGTACACATAAAAAATAAAGATCAAAACAAAAAAATCACTCCCTTTTATCATTCATATGGTCTGGACAATACATGAACTTGTTACGATCTTTACAGGAAAGTTTTGTTCAAAAATATTATTGTTTAGAGTAAGGTTTTTGACAAAAATTGTTCAATCAATGAGATTTCTTTAGAAAAAAATCTATCTGTCTTGTACTTGGACATGTAAAAATATTAAATATTAAATAAAATTGACAGGTCCCGTATATTTGGTGTTCAGGTTTATATAGCACATTTGGGCTTTTTAGAAATAATCTAAGCTATTTTAGCTATAAAAAATTATCTCCCTTTCAAATATATTCAAATGAAATTTCAGTTTCTGCATCTAGCTGTATACTTAAAAGTGCAGCCTATAATACTTGATTAATTCTATGTAAACGAAATTTATTTTTAGAATACTATTAATTTTGCAGTTAAAGAAATAAATTGCAAAATTATATTGAGCAGTACTTCTTAATCATGTCTGCATACTTTTAGACTGCATTTTCTAAAAAAATAAGTAAAAAACAAAAATTTCATTAGAAAATTGAAAAGGGAGATAATTTCTATAGCCATCACTGAGCTTATATAGTCATATAGAGAGCTATATAAGCTCAAACTGAAGATATGCAGAACCTGTTGGAAGGGCACAATATTTTAATTTATAAATTACATTATCACAAATATACAATAAATCTATACAAAATAATACTATAATATAAATATAAAAATGGAAAAAAAAAATGGAAACAATATTTTATTATACTACGTAGAATAAATATCTTTTGATACAGAACAACAATAAAATATGGCATCTTTAATACAATCTTTAACTTACAAAGCACCTAAATGCACCACTCGAATATTTAAATATTGTTGATTCATTAATATTTGTGGGATATCCTGGTGTCATCGGTTCTCGATAACATAACAAACAAGTTAATAGTATTGCAAGTTCAGTTTATAAATATGCCCAAGTTTGTTTGTGTTATTTTATTAAACACTTGCCTTTATTTTCCCAAAACTCTGCAGCTTTCCCTGTGAAACACAGAACAGAAACAAAACATTTGTATTTAACACTTTTATGAGATGTTGAGCACTACATCATCAATTTTGATGGATTTCAAGGGTATATGAGAACCACAAATTACAAACACAAATTTTCTTAAGGCTTCTTAGCAGACGTTGGAAAAACAATGAAATCAAATATCCATGAAAATACCGTTTTTCCTCAGTAAAAGAAAATTGGTGCCCACGGAAAATAAATTAATCCACAATATAGTGTCCAAGATTGCTCTGAAATCTGATTTCCTTTCAGGGGATTTGCACGGGCTGTGAGACATGAAAATACATTTGACTTTTAAAATCTCTGGCTAGATATACTAAAAAATAACTGATATGCTAAAAGGAATAGTGTTTTTATTGTTTTTTTCGTCTAAAATCAGACTAACAAGTCTTCAATAATGAACTTTACCACTCTCATTTTAATAGAAAATTTTCAAATAAATCTGTCACTCCAATTATAATTGTGAGATAAGACATTTACCATATGCTTATGACTACAAGAGAAAATATTTAAAAATACCACTTTTGGATATTAAAAATGGCAATAACTCAAAAAGGAGAAATACTACAACTGTGAAAATTGAACTTGACCTTCATTTAGTCACTAGAAACAACATATCTAAATTTGAAAAAAAATCATCACAGCGTTTTCATGTAATTGAAGAGACACTGTTTGGCAGCCGCCCGTCGTACATCCCCAAATCAATAACCAATTTTTCCTTCAAAAATCCGGTTGAAAATGAGGAATGTGTAGTTAAACTAGCATGAAAATTAACCTGAACAAGGATTTGTATACTATACAAACCCTTACCTGGAACAACGAAACACGTCGATAAAAAATCTTCAGTTTTGAGGCCTAAACACCAGCTGAAAATTTTCAAATCTCCAGTTGTGACAAGACAACTCTGTCACATGTATGATAACAATTAACATTCAGATGCATTCATATTATTAAAGACAATTCATTAACAACACAATATTTCATGTAGCTTTAGAACTCTACATTGTGTAAACAAACTATGTTTTGATAGAGATTTGTACATTTTTTCTCACTGAACAACTACTTTTTGTGAAAAAATGGTGAAAGAGAATAAAATGAGGAGATTGCTTTCATTGAAGTGAGAGACTGCTTCTCTCAAAGTGGAAGATTGCTTTCATCAAAGTTGGAGATTGCTTTCATCATAGTTGGAGATTGCTTACATCAAAGTTGGAGATTGCTTTCATAAAAGCAGACGATTGCTTTCATCAAAGAGGGAGATTGCTTTTTTTAAAAAAAGTGGGAGATTTTGGCAATTACTGTTGTATTTTGTATATAATTTAAACAAACATTTTACAACTGATCCATTTGGGGAGATAACTCATGATAATAATTGATGTTAATTAATTTCACACAAAATAAATGACCTATTATGCCTAAATATCTATTACATAAAGAAGTTTTAGTCAGTGATACTAAGATTAATTTGATACACAATAAGATGGCACTGACATTTGAGACTGACTGGGTTTAAGTTCATTTTTACGATTCAAGATCTATAGTTTACTTGAGGAAAGTCCAGAAACAAGTTCAAGAATTGACAGACACTATGAACATCATGATTGTGTGCTCAATTATTCTCAAGTAACCACCATTATCGGAATAGAATCATCTGTTTGTTCTGCATGGATTACTATACACTACATGACAAAGGTATGCAGTTCTACTAGTAGTCTGAGCTCATCAAACAGAAGATTTCAGTCAGATTTGTACACAAAACTGACAACATATACTATTAGAGGTACTGTACATTTCACTAGATGACAGTACTTTACTTCACAATCACTAAGCTTTGCTCACTTCTAAAGAGTATTCTCAAATATGTTATGTTATATAAAATCAAATATATAAGCCAGTTTTTACAATTGCAAATTGTGGATGCTATAAATAAACATTTAGTATTGTTTGACTATATAAGACTTGATTCTTATGCAACCTATCATGGCAATTGGTATACCCTGTTATATTGTATAAAACAGGCTGCAAAAATCTTATAAGACAACAGGTTGACGATGTCCAGCTCTCTGCAACAGTCTCTCACGTTCCCTGTTCATACTAATGGTGAATGACTCTTGTTGATGGTATTTGTAAACTTTAATTACAGCTACAACTGATAAAACAACCCAACAAATCCAACAGATCCAGGTACAGAACTGAAATAATATATATTATGGGTCAATGAATGATAGTATTTTAAGGAAGTTTGCTCCTCTTGTTTTTGAATTTTTGCCAGATTTTCGGAATCCTCTGGTTTAATCCATGTAGTGCCATTCAAAAATTTTGCCCGCTAACCCCTACTTTTCTTTTCATAATTTTATTACATATAGTTTCAAAAGCCATATTTGAAAATCTTATAAAATCCTTGTTATTTTTTCGTAGTTTTTGAAAGAAAAATTGTGCCAATGTTAAATATATGAAAAATCTAGAGAGAATTATTTCCCACCAAATTTTAAATGGCTTATATCTTGAAAACAAGCACACGGACCCTTCATTTTTTTCTGCTTATTTAGTTCCTTTATTTATATACTATCAATTTATAACAATCTTTTAAAAAGCTTGTTATTATGAAACAGAGTTGCGAACATCCTTAAGATTAATTCACCAGTTATCATTCAAATTTCATTGATAACAGATACAACTAACATTATAACTTCACAAATATTAGAATAAAATAAAAATAAAATGCTCCGCAGGGCGCAGCTTGATACGACCGCAGAGGTCGAACCCTGAACAGTTGGGGCAAGTATGGACACAACATTCAAGCTTGATACAGCTCTGAATTTGGATTGTGATTAAAAATTTGACACAGCATAGGTTTCTGACACAGAATGAATGTGGTCTAAGAACTTAAAAATTTTAAATTGGACATTCACCTATTATGGTCCAATATCCAAAATCTAAATACATGGTTAGATTCAGCATATCAAAGAACCCCAAGAATTCAATTTTTGATGAAATCAAACAAAGTTTTATTTTAGACCCTTTTGACCTCAATGTGGACAAAGTTGATAACGGGGCCCAAAAATCAAAAATCTAAATACATGGTTAGATTCAGCATATCAAAGAACCCCATATATTCAATTTTTGTTGAAATCAAACAAAGTTTAATTTTGGACCCCGATTTGGACCAACTTGAAAACTGGGCCCATAATCAAAAATCTAAATACATGTTTAGATTCAGCATATCAAAGAACCCTAAAAATTCAATTTTTGTTAAAATCAAACTAAGTTTAATTTTGGACCCTTTGGACCTTAATGTAGACCAATTTGAAAACGGAACCAAAAATTAAGAATTTAAATACACGGTTAGATTCGGCATATCAAAGAACCCCAATAATTCAATTTTTGATGAAATCAAACAAAGTTAAATTTTGGACCCTTTGGACCTCAATGTGGACCAATTTAAAAACAGGGCCCAAAATCCAAAAACTTAATACAAGGTTAGATTCAGCATATTAAAGAACTCCAAGAATTCAAGAATAAAACCCCATTGAAATTGATCAAGAAATAAGCAATTTATATGAAGTATCTTCTTTTGCACAATACTGTGCAATTGAATATTTCTTGCTATTGCGCAATACTGAACAATTGACAATTTCTTGCTATTGCGCAATATTGTGCTATTGGATATTTCTTGCTATTGCGCAATACTGTGCAATTGAAGATGTCTTGCTATTGCGCAATACTGTGCAATTGAAGATTTCTTGCTATTGTGCAATACTGTGGAATTGAAAATTTCTTGCTATTGCACAATACTTATAATATAATAATTTACACATCCTGTTTGGTGTGTATCTCCTACCATATCATTATTATTTGCTTTTAAATATAAATCAGAAATAACCAACTTAAAATGGAAAATTTTGAAAGAAAAAAAAAAGGAAAAAAAGTAAAAAAAAAAAAAAAAAAAAATCCCCCCCCCCAAATTTTTTGAACCCCCTTATGATTCATCACCCCCAAACTCAATCCCAGCCTTCCCTTTGCGGTATGGTACCTTGCAGTACAATTTCAGAGAAATCCATACACTTGAACACAAGTTATAGTCTGGAAACTAGAAAAATGCTTATTTTTGGCCCCTTTTTGGCCCCCAATTCCTAAACGTTTAGGGCAATTACCCCCAAACTCAATTCCAGCTTTCCCTTTGTGATATGGAACCTTGTAGTACAATTTCAGAAATATCCAAACACTTACACACAAGTTATTGTCATGAAACTAGAAAAATGCGTTTTTTGCCCCTTTTTTGGCCCCTAATTCCTAAAATTTTGAGGCAATTACCCCCAAAATCAATTACAGCCTTCCCTTTGTGATATGGAATCTTGTGGTACAATGTCAGAGAGATCCATACACTTACACACAAGTTATTGTCTGGAAGTTACAAAAATGCTTATTTTTGGCCCCTTTTTAGCCCCTAATTCCTTAACTGTTGGTACCATAACCCCCAAAATCAATCCCAACCTTCCTTTTGTGGTATCGAACCTTATGGTAAAATTTCATGGAGATCCATTAACTTAAACTAAAGTTAGAGTGCGAAAACCAATGTGTCTTCGGACGACGACGACGACGACGACGACAACGACGACGCCAACGTCATACCAATATACGACCAAAAAATTTTCAATTTTTGCGGTCGTATAATTAACAGATAAACAGACTGTTGCAGATGACAGAAAATCTCAGACAGTACTGAAACATGTAGCTATGCTCAACATCAAACTGTATCCAATAAATGAATTTAATCATCAGAGACATAACTACAACACACCTTAGTTTTGCAATTATTTGAATTATCAAGAAACTAAGGTTTCAGCAACTCACTCAGGCAAAGTTGACCTTGCATGGATTTGGCTATTATTTTTAGGTCTTTTTTGGTCATATAGCTCTTCACCTGCATCCATAGCTTTCAAATACTAGGCTTTGAGCATTCCTGATGAAGGTAAATCAAGAAAAGTGCTTCCGATGCATGAAATTTGTAAAGTGTTGGTTTTTTCTAACAAAAGACAATTGTATTAAAGTCAAAACTATTTTCTGTTATGTTAAAAAAGTTGTGTCAAAACATCATATTTCTTGCATTGACAGATGAACTGGAAATTAATGTTTATATTATCATACCTGAGCCATCATCATTTCCAAGTAAAAGTTAGATGTATTTATGTCTTTTTCTTCAGTAAATGTTACGAAATCTCCCATTTCACAGCTGCAATATAATAGAACCTTGTCAACAACAGATCACATTTATACTGAATGTACAATAAAATTGAAATTATATATTACCAAGAAATTACTTATTTATGAAGTACAATATTACATCTCTGTTATTACTTTCATTTTGTTCAGGTGCCAATTTCTGGAGAGAAAAAAATCTCACTCAATACATTTGATCCATATCATTTCCATTACCAGAAATACTCTTTTACTATACTCTGATTTCTCATGTCATTTAAACGTTTTATGGCCTAACTGAATCCCTGCATCTTTGAACTGATAAAGTAATTGTGACTGCTTGACATTTTTCAAACACCTGTCTTTATTCTTATGTACATAATCCAACCCCGCCTAAAGAAATATATTAATTTTATCATTTAAAAACATTTATCGGAGCAGTCATAAGGAAGTTATCCTCAATAGAATATTCATCCCTTAGCTCAACGTACTGGTGTGATTTAATGCCGAACAAACACACAAATGACATCAAATAATGTAACCTAAAACCAAGCACTTTGACGGAAAGATAACGATTGGAATCAAGTGTATTGGGACCTACAATTGAAGAACAAAAATAATAGTTCCTTTGCCTTTTGTTTTTCCAGCACATTTAGTGATTTTGTGTCATGAATTCAATATATCATATCCATTCTTTTCTATTTAAGGAATGACTGTAATATTTTTTCTGTCTATGAAGAAATAACATCAAAAATGTGGTGCACACTGAATAACTCATGTAGCGGGTTATTTAAAAGTGTGCACCACATTTTTTAGGTTATTTCGAAAAGACAGAAAAAATATTACAGTCATTCCTTATAATTTAATTCTAAAAAGGAGTAAATCATGATAAAAACGTTGATGACGTCACGGTCACATGACAAAATTAGGTCTATGAGCTGATAGACAAAACACTTTCAGCCAATCAGAAGACGTGTTACATCCAAAATTAAATTATAATGATATGTTTAAGAGAAGACTTACTTGATTACTGATTTAACTATCAAACCACACCATTCATTAAAGCCAACACTCAGTGTGAGGGATGATCCAAACAACATCAGACAAACTAGCAGACTTATTAAAGCTGTGACGAAACAATCCAACCATGACCTGTAAATATATTTTTGAATTATATATCACAAACTCAGATAAATAATTATCATTGCAAAATATATCAACATATATCAGGTTTAAAAATACCATGGCAGAGGCTGATTTTTTTTTTTTTTGGGGGGGGGGGGGGGGGGGCTTCCCCCACTTATTGAGCTATATTTATGGTTAATCCAGACTTTTAACCTGTTCCACTCTAAACTTTGTCTAGTTTGAGGACCATGACCCTCCCCCACCCCCCTTTTTCAATCTCCTGGATCTGTATCTGTATGGTCTACGTACTGGTAAATCATTACAAAATTAAAGAACCTTTAGTATGTTTAGTGACAAGGTAACATACCAGAATATTCCCAGTACAAATGAACTATATTGTTGTTTTACTGATTAAACTTTTATAACTTCTTTAATTTATCATGATTCTTGGAAAGATGTTTGAAAACTCTTATTAATCAACTGACAATTTTTTCGATGCTAACCTATTGGCAGATATTGTATTTCTGATCATTTTTGCTTTTAAAGTTTCTATCTATCTTTTATACTTTTTATGTTTTAAGATGATAGAAAAAAACAAAAAAAATGGTAAAATTGTCATTTAAGGGCATTAAGTCGTATAAAGAGTTATTTGTAGATCTAGCCTTGTGGATCATTTGCTATCTAAATTATCTCTCTATCTATTATTGTTTCAAAATAATAGGCAGTGACACAAAAAATTGGTAAAAATTGTCATTTAAGGATTATAAACTCCTTTAGGGCTTCAACTGACAATTTCAGTTATTCAACATATTTGTAGATATTGTCTTTCTGGTCATTTTGCTGTAAAAAGTTTCCATCTATCTTTTATATACATGATATAGTTTTCAAGACAATAGGCCAAAAATGCTAAAAAAATGGTAAAAATCTTCAATAAAGGGCAATAACTTTAATAAGGAGTTGACCAAAGATTTCAGCCATGTTGACTTATTTGTAGATCTTGATTTGCTGATAATTGTTGCTAGCTAAAGTTTCTGACTATCTATAAGCTTTCAAGATAATAAGCAAAAATTTTAAATATTGGTAAAATTTGTCTTTCAGGGCATACGATATAGTTACAGGGGAGATAATGACGTTGCCAACGTAAAATGTTATTTTTACGTGATGTCAATTAAACTATGACAAATCGGTAAAAGATGCATATTTCTACTGATTTTAATCACAATAGGCCCAAGACCACAATTAATGATCCCGATTTTCGTTGTCCACGAATATAGTTCCTTTTAATTAGAGTGTAGTTTTTCTTAATTTTTTTTCTTCCCCTTCCTCACTCATTTCTTAGTTTTTTTTGGGTGGAAATAAAAGAAGAGAGGTGAAATAAACTTTTGGATGTTGTATTTTAACTGATTTTGATATGGAAAGAGTGATTAGGCCAGGTGCAAAAAGGTGATATTTACAGTTTTCGGAACATCTCTAGACTTGTCCATAGGGGTATGGAGGTGTATTGGCTAAATTTGTAAGAGTCATTGGTTCAATCTTTCTGAATTTTGGATATATTTTTGGACTAGTACTATACATTACACACACAAAAGATTTGACAAAAATGCAAGGTGCAATTTTTTTAATGAAACAAAACGTTATAAAGAACTAATAGGGGAATTTAATTGTGGTCTGTGGCCTAAGAGGTGAATTCATGAAATATTGAATTTGTACTTTGACAACTTCCCTGAATGATCTATTGGTATTAATTTGTCAAACTACATGAGAATAAATGATTTCCACTTTTATTTGATAGAAATTTTGTAAAAAAGTGACATTTCAGCCTCCATGCCCAAAATTGAAATTTTTCAGTTGTTTCAATATATTTACAAAAGTAGCATGCTTACTTTCTCTCTGACAGATTTTTCTGGTTTTTTATTTGTGTTTGTGGTAACTTATGTAGATGTTTAACTCATTTTTGAACACTGAACACACAAAAAGTAGATAAAATCAGAATAAGAGTGCAAAATGTGCTGCTTTAATGGTCTTAGTCTAACGGTCAGTATGAAGCAAGTGAAAAATGAGGTTCTATGCACATACAAGTTGAATTCCTTTTAGCAGATTTCACTGAATCTGTATCAAAAGCACTTATTACTGGTTGTTTGACCTTGTCTGTTTCACAGACTACCTTTATTTTCTTTTGTTTGATAGCTAGTGGTTAAAATATTGGCCTTTTGAGGCTGAAATTTCATGCCGGTTTTAAAAAGTAAAGTAAATAACTTTGCATCAAATCATACTGTCTACATATATAGTTGAAAGTGACAGTCATGTTACATCCAGGCTCCATGTTTTATCATATCTAAACAAAGATTTGAGCAAAAAGAAGCATATCTCTATCTACCATATCATTTATATGCTTTTTAATATGCAAATGTGGGGAACGACCTAAATTGACAACCTGTTTTTTTTAAGCTTGACATTGCTGAAGACCATTTTATTCACATTTGTTATGCTATTTGAAACTTATATTTCCATTAAAAGTACATTTATAACATGTAAAAGGTTTTTTTATAACTTAACAACTTCAGAAAATTGTGGTAAGTGAAAAATATTACATTTCATAAAAGGCCTGACTTCATTTGAAAACCTCTATTTTTTGGCACAGGCTCATATAAAATTTACTTCTGGCCATTTTTTATAAGTCTGAAACATGAAGTATGCTATCTGTTGCTTTTAATAGGTGATAACTTATACATAGAAACATTAAAAAATGTAAGTTTTGGTATATTTTGGTTTTTAGAAGCCCAAATTTGATAGTTGAAATTGTTCTAATTCAATGCCACAATTCAGCACCCAAAGTTCAGATATAAAAAATGCCACATTTTTTATAATTGGTATCATATGGCTTTGAAACTTTGTAAACTGTTTTATAATACACTAAGCTTAAATCATGCCAAGTTTTATTAGAATTGGTCAAGTTTTAGACCCCTAATAGGCCCAAGACCACAATTAATGATCCCGCTTTTCGTTGTCCACGAATATAGTTCCTTTTAATTAGAGTGTAGTTTTTCTTAATTTTTTTTCTTCCCCTTCCTCACTCATTTCTTAGTTTTTTTTGGGTGGAAATAAAAGAAGAGAGGTGAAATAAACTTTTGGATGTTGTATTTTAACTGATTTTGATATGGAAAGAGTGATTAGGCCAGGTGCAAAAAGGTGATATTTACAGTTTTCGGAACATCTCTTGACTTGTCCATAGGGGTATGGAGGTGTATTGGCTAAATTTGTAAGAGTCATTGGTTCAATCTTTCTGAATTTTGGATATATTTTTGGACTAGTACTATACATTACACACACAAACGATTTGACAAAAATGCAACAAAACGTTATAAAGAACTAATAGGGGAATTTAATTGTGGTCTGTGGCCAATAGCTTGAAAACGAGCACATGGACATCAGGGAGATAGAGAATTTTACCATGTTTACACTTATTGTCATCCAATCAGAACCATTGATACAAAACAATTGCATTAGGATTTAGAGATAACTGTATTGTATTTGAAGCTCTTTAAAATTGACATTTGGCTTGATTATGTATGAAGATTATTTGTACCAATTTTCATGAACAAATCACAGACAGAGTTTTTTTTTAAATTAGATAAATATACAGCAAAAAATGCTGTTCTTTTTTTCTAAAATCCCAAAAATTTGATAAAAATGAATTATGTTCAAAGAATTGTTATAAAAAATTCAGAGTCTTTTTTATTTAGAGAAGATAGTCCAAATGTTTCTACAAAAATCTTTTTGTGTTTTCCTTCTGAAACAATAAGTTGGGTATGTCTGTCGAAAGAATAGAAATATCCAGGAAACCAAGATTTTGAGTACTGGTGTAAATGTCTTAAATTTCAGCCCCATTTATCTCTAAAAGTAGCATATGATGGTATAACTTTTATAACATATTTGAATTTTCTAGGTGAAAAATAGTTTGTATGCAAATTTTCGTCAAAAATTCACAGTGAGATCAAAACATGCTGAACACTTTTGACCCAGTAATATTTTCTATCTATATATAGCGGTTTTCAAGATCATTGACAAAACTTGTATTTTACCCCCATGTTCTTTTCTTAGCCATGTCAACCATGTTGGTTGACAACCCAGGTCCTCAGCCACATTTTTAAACTAGATAAATGTGTAGTTTTATTATTAAAATGGACACTGAAACCTTGGATTAAAAAAGATCTCTAGTTATGAGGCCCAAACCCCAGCTGAAAATTTTCAAATTTCCAGTTGTCACTTGTTAACTTTTTCACATGTCTGTTTGTTTTCTAATCAAATTGTTTTACGCACTGGAATTTTGTTCTTTTGTTTTAATCATGGAGTAAAAAATTCTCATTACTGCAATATTCGTTTCTCATTTGCAATTACAATGACAGAAAAAACAAGCTGTTAAGTATAAATGTGAATACAAGAAAATGTTGAGTTTCTTAGTAAAGTTTCAGGACTGGTTTGATTCAATTATCTTTTCTATGCACTGTAAATAAAAGTTTTGCATTTTTTATCAGCTACTTTCCATCTCTTTCTTTTTTAATGTGAACAAAAGAAGAAAGGAGATTTCTTTCAGACAATAGTTTTAAACTTCCTTTTAACAGGAAGGTTTTACTTTTTACTTTTTAATATACTTAAGATATTGTTATCTGAAGATATTCATGATGAAACATATATAAAGTGCTCCGTACTTATTGAACAAAAGTTTTATTTGCTCATCTACAAATGCACATCTTCAAATGACGTATTATGTTTCACTCAAATGTATCTGATCAAATCATCCCGGACTGAAGTTGAAAAAGGAACATGTGAAATCGGTAACAAACCAGTTATCTGAAATCACTATCATATATATATAATACATTTATATTACAAACATGACAAAGTAAACGTCAGGTTTAACAGCCAATTAGTATAGTGTAATTGTACAATGTAGTAAGAAAACCAGGACGGGTTCAAACAGAAAGATTTTGAAAGCAGAGAAAATGGTGCACCTTATAATCAGCATGACTTTATCAGATGACAATATGAATACTAAAAATCCAGGATAAAAATAAGGCGTAGCTACTTTCCAATTTGTTAGCCGGCATGACGTAAAAATGACGAATCAAAGAATTCAACTTTATATATAACTAATATAGGACAACAGTGTTGATTAAAAATTTCCACATAATTAATACCAATAATTAACAAATTCCGGGATGACGGGTTCAAACAGAAAGATTTTGAAAGAACAGAAAACTGTGCACCTTATAATTCGCATGACTTTATCAGATGACAATATGAATACTAAAAATCCAGGCTTAAAATAAGGTGTAGGTACTTTAATTCAGTCACAGACCTGCGATGTTGCAGGTGTGTTCTAGTTACATTTATATTACAAAGTAATATAAACTATGTATCTTTGGTCAACAGAAAGAGAGCAACCATTTGGTTCTCTGGGTGAGGAAGGGCAAATACGTAGCAATAATACATGCAAGTTTTGATAATTTCTCAATGAAGATCAACTTGAATATTGTTTATATTTGCACTTTGTTACAAGTAATACAGTAGTAGCATCCTGGCATCATGACTTCCTTTCGTATGTGTCTGTGCTTAATAATTGGTCCACTACCAAAGTACACCATGAAGTAATAATGTCGTTATAGTTAATGATGAAATTTTATAAATTTGGTGCGTCGATCTGAAGAGCATTTCTGGATTATGTGCCCCTTGTGGGCCCTTAATTGGTAATAATATATATCTTATCTTATCTTATTTATAAACATGATAAATACCACTTAAATACAAAAATTTGAAAGCCTTAGAAACATATAAGAACCTCGATCATGTGGGGTGCTCTATGACCAAAATGAACTAAAAAGAACAATTAACCAAGTCCATCTAAGGTCATCTTTTTATTTGTCCTTAAACTGCTTTTTAATCATTTAAGGAAAACCATTAATTTTACAACAAGGAATATGAAATAAAAGATGCAGTGAATAAAAAGATTACTTATTTTAAGGAAAACCATTAATTTTACAACAAGGAATATGAAATAAAAGATACAGTGAACAAAAAGGTTAATCATTTTAAGAAAAACCATTAATTTTACAACAAAGAATATAAAATAAAAGATAGTGAATAAAAACAAATTTTCTTCCAAGTTTTGAAATTATATTCAACAGGTTCAAAGCATAAAATTTTCATTCTGTGGTGTAAATAGAGGTGATAAGTTCTGTATTTAACACTACATTTCACTGATTCTTTTTTTTTTATAAATTACAACTTTCTTTCGCAAATGTGAAGCAGAAAAGTAGTTTGACAAAATGTTTGATTCCCAAATCTCTTCAATGTACAAATGTACTTTACAACCTATCTAAATAATAACAAATAAATATAAATGAACAAATGAACTTGTAATGCAGAATTTCTACCACCTGGTGAAGAATGTAGTGAGAACATTGTATGTACAAAAAATTGCAACATCTTTGGGGAAACATTGTCAATTAAGTAATAATTGTAACCTGCTTTCACTGTACTTATGTATTATCGTCATACTTTGTACCACACAATTATTTTATTTTATTTATTAATATTACTTTTACTGTTAAGTCTGTTTTTTGTTATATCCATTTTACGCGACTCTGTATTTATGTATCCCCTCATACTTTGAACGACAAAATTATTTTATGTCTACCTGTGCGAATTTCAAACGCGTGATTTAACGCCAGTACTTAAAACCTTCCATCCTTTATGGGTGGATTTTACATGGATAAATAAAATTGTATAATATAAGCAAAATGAGGATGTTAAATTTGATGTATGCCTTTTTGTGCTTCTTCGTTACATTTGTTTGTTTTTATAGTGATTAAGATGATAACACAATGTTGACTGCTGTACCCCTATTTTTGACATTTTTACCTATTGTGTCTGTTTGTTTTGTTCACGCATCGTTGTCAATATGCGACTGTCATACAAGTGAGAGGTTTAGCTAGCTTTAAAACCAGGTTCAATCCACCATTTTGTACATAAAAAAATGCCTGTACCAAGTCAGGAATATGACAGTTGTTATCCATTTATTTGATGTGTTTGTTTTTTTGATTTTGCCATTTGATTGGGGACTTTCCTTTTTGAATTTTCCTCAGAGTTCAGTATTTTTGTGATTTTACTTTTCACATGGTCAACCAATAAAACTTATTCGTTACTTGTCAATTACTGTATTTACCACCCAACCTTGAAATAGACATAGCATGTCACATAAGCAGATACGGGCAAATAAACTTTCTTGGCTGTTAGTTATTAAAACAAAAATGTTTTAATTGCAAAATACTAGCTTCAGACTACATACCCATCTATATTTTTGAAGAGATACACAGATTCCCACACCATGTAGAACAGGGATAATAGCATTATAATAACACCCATAAATATATTGAAACCACAAGCACTGTCATTCCCCCAAACAATGTTTACGAATTCTCTTGTTTTGTTGTCAAACGTTCCATCAGCATAGAGTAAACAGTGTCCATTGAACTCCTTCACATTTGCAGCTATTGGTATAAATATGAAGAATGACACAATGAATGAGACAAGATAAGCTATCACTTGTGTTAACAGGAGTATGTTCCCAAGTCCCATTTTAACAAAACAAACTCAAAGTAAATGTGCAGATTCAATAAAAATGTCCTCTGGTAAGTTTAGTTTCAGTTTCAATTCGCTGAGAGTTGGATGTCACATGACCCAAATAAAGAACTTCCGGCGTACACAAAAATGTCGAGCGGCGATGCAGACTCCACGGTGAAAACAGAATCAAATCCAGGTTAATCTTTCTTTTTGCAAATTATATCACGCATGCAAAAGACACATTTACATTGTCAGATCTCTAACTTTTGATGTTAAGTGCATAATTGATATTAGATGGCAAGCATTTATCAGCAATTAACCGCCAGAAATCTTAACAACAACCACACATCCACATGTATCTTTATCTGTATTGGTACGTGTAGAATCCTATTTAGGCTTTTATACACGATGAAGAAGAGCGCCGTTGATATGGGCGGTGTTCCTGTAGTGTTGTCTTGAATGCCTCTACAGAATCTGCATGCACAACTCTATCTGGCAGTTGGTTCCAGTTAATGATTGTTTCCACAAAAAATGAATGTTTATATTGTGGCTTATTGGTGTCTGGCACTTTAAGTCCTCTGGTGTTGTTTATTATGTGCCGTTCAATTATATTGTCTGTTTCAGAGCCGGCACCAGACCCTCAACCACCTTGTATATCAGGATCAGACGGAGGCTGTGTCTTCTTTCCTCTAGATCTGAATTTCTACCTGACGTCTCATGTTGGTTATTGACCCTGTTTCTCCACTCCTGTAGTTTTTCTTGATTAATCGTATGCCTCTGTTTTGTATACGTTCCAATTTTTCTATATCCCCTTTCATATACAGGGACCTCGCTGGGCTTCGCCAATGTCGCAAATTTTTTATTTCATCTGGCAACAAAATACAGCTGCTGGTGATATTTCTGGTGCCAACATTTTCCTATGTCAAAATTTTCATTTCTTGACTGTTACGGTAATATTATTGATCTTCATTTAAATTGGTGAAAGTAAAAGAATAAATTGTATGAAATTTTACCTGGCGACAAGTTTATGACTTTGTTTCCGACCCCAAGCTACATGTAATCAACGGTTACAACAGGTGTCATAATCTGAAGAAAACGTAATTGACAGAAAAACAAATACCATAATAAATTTGTTAAAAAAACATTGTTTTACTTGTTTTCCGTAAAAAATGGTAAACTCGGACGTAATTTGTCTTTGCCTGCCCTCACTTTTGATACAACAATAACAAAACCGGCGGCATTTTGATCGTATTTACTTCTACAGCATTCTGTGTATTACCCTCCGAAGAAGGAGCACACCCGAATCAAGAAAGATAACTCAATTTTATTTTTTCCTAGTATTGAGATACCTGCTCAAGATATGTCTACATGCTTCTGACTTTTGAGTTATGGGAAAAGTTAAGTGGGTCTTGGTAGCATGCTTGGGTCATCATTTTCTGTATTCTTTATTTTTTTTACAAATTTTCACTATTCTATATATCTTAACACCCATTATTCTCTTTTCTTCATTTAATTGACCATTTACATGAACTTTTTTGGAGCCAGAGCAGCCCGCGATACATATATGAGTTCCAGATGGGTGCGCCATATTCAATTGTAGATCTTACTAGACCTGTATACCACTTTTTATACGACCGCAAAAAATTTTTTGGGTTCGTATAATGGTATGATGTCGTCGTCGTCCGAAGACACATTGGTTTTCAGACAGTAACTTTAGTTTAAGTGAATGGATCTTTATGAAATTTTTTAAGAAGGTTCAATACCACAAAAGGAAGGTTGGAATTGATTTTGGGGATGATGGTCCCAACTGTGTAGGAATTGGGGGCCCAAAAGAAGCATTTTTCTAGTTTCAGGATAATAACTTGTGTATAAGTATTTCGATTGCTCTGAAATTGTACCACAATGTTTAATACCACAAGCAGAAGGTTGGGATTCATTTTAGGGGTTATGGGGCCAACAATTTAGGAATTAAGGGCCAAAAAGGGGCCAAAAACAAGCATTTTTCTAGTTTCCAGACTATAACTTGTGTGTAAGTGTATGGATCTCTCTGACATTGTACCACAAGGTTCCATATAACAAAGGAAAGGCTGGGATTGAGTTTGGGGTTAATTGCCCAAAACATGTAGGAATTAGGGGCCAAAAACAAGCATTTTTCTAGTTTCCAGACAATAACTTGTGTGTAAGTGTATGGATCTCTCTGAAATTGTACTACAAGGTTCCATATTACAAAGGAAAGGCTGGGATTGAGTTTTGGGGTTATTGCTCCAAGGGGGGTTTTAAAAAGTTTGGGGGGGATTTTTTTCCCAATTTTTTTTTAAGGGATTCATATTTTTTTTCAAAATTTTTAAAATTTCGAATTTTTGAAAAGTTTCAAGAAGAAATCTTCAATTGCACAGTATTGCGCAATGGCTTTATAAGATCTTTGACCACATTTATTTTGTGTCAGAAACCTATATTATGTCAAAAATTTGATTACAATCCAAATTCAGACAGTATCAAGCTTGAATGTTGTGTCCAAATTTGCCCCAACTGTTCAGGGTTCGACCTCTGCGGTCGTATCAGGCTGTGCTCAGCGATACATTTTATTTACATGCTTCTGGTACGTTTCTCAAGTTCCTCCTAATGCCAAATAAAGTATATGTGTGTTAAATGGAAAAATAAATTTCGAATGATCCCATTTTGTGGAATGTGAATTTCAACAATAAATTCACAGACTTCTGTCATCTGAATTTCCATTAGAAGTATCCACTACGGCTAAAATGCAACAAAATTAACTAAAAGTGTAACATATCTGTTTATTTTACAACCAACATATAGAAAATGGTGAACTTCCGGTAGGGACGTGTAGAATACTGGAATCCGACTCGGTGAACATATAATTTTTTTCTGGATTCAGAGCTCTCGAAAACCGTTGGTCCCGTCGGTCCTGACCGCCAAAAATTGGCTAGGACCGACAATTGCATGTGCAGTGGCAGTCCTGATGACTGACAAAATTTTGGTGGTTGTTCATTTTTGTTTTAGCATCTTTTCGGTATTCAGATAGCTTTTGAACTGGTTGCTAATGTAAACAAACTTTCACTGCATAGCTCAAAATTACGGTATTACTTTTAAAAAAGAACCAGTCGTCGGATTCTGCATTCTGAGAGCTTTGAGAGTCATGTTTTGAAGATACCAAATATATAAATTCAAAAGGATTAGTAATATTGAACACAATATATGTTTTCTTCATAAATTTTATTAATTCATTCTCTTGTAAATTCAAAGATACAACCAAGGTCTGTCCTTGGTCCAAACATGGAGAAATTTACGTTCTCTTGATCGTATTTGCGATTTGAAATATGTCTGTTTTCAGTTGATGCCCGGTCTTTTAATTGGCTTTCTAGGTTGGGCACCTTTCACATACCTCAAAAACGACGCCATCATGTCATGATTGTCAACATTAAGATATTGACCAATCAAAGAAGCCGCTATAAATTTATTTATCTTCCAGTGTTCTCCCCAGATATTTCATTTAGCATCCTGGTAAACAGGGGAAATTGAAATACCATCTTGTTTCTAAAAATTATAGCATCACATCCATAACATAATCTATAAGAAAACCAATTCAGATAGCATCACATTTAAGATTATAGCATCACATTACCATGATGCTAAAAGGCCATGGGGAGAACACTGTCTTCATTACCGTAAGCAATAGTTTGAGCAGCCTCATTATAAAGAGTAAATGGGCAGTACACCAGGATACCAGTTGAACATATGGTGAAGTCCAGTCTGTTGAAAACGACTGGATTTTTAGGGAAGCAGAGAGTGACAAAATACAAAAGCACATCGGACTGGTTGTTTGACTATATATACTAGTCCCCCAGGTCAAATTTTTTTTCACATGCCAGTCGGACTAGTACCAACAGAATATTTACAAGTCCCCAATAAGATTTACAAGCCATTGGGGATGGACTTGTCGCTAAATTCGAAGACTGTGTTTATTTAGCTTAAAAAATATATAATAACATAACAGGATCAATCTTTAGATAGCTACATATACATTTACAGCACATATGATTAAATACAGAGCATATGCAACATATTTATAAAACACACACAGGCATTAAAGGCATGAATACAGACAAAGCACATGCAATGTAAAGAGCAGATAAGGATATTCACTTAAAACACGTACATTTTGTACTTGTAGGCAATAAAACACAAAAATATCAACATACATGTATATCACACATGTTCCTAAGAGGTACTGTTCCACAGCTATACACAACATACTCAATTCACATTTTTGAGAAAAGATGCGCCAACAAACTTTCCCATTTCATCAATTCGCTTTTCCTGGACTGCCAAAAGCGATATTAAGTAGCCCAAGTGTTCACAAAAGTGGCTTTTGTCATCTGCAATTTTCCATTTTTACTAAGTTGATGATGAGGAAAGTTGTAGTCAACAACCCTGGACATAAATGAATCATCCATTTTAATTTGTTTTCAAAAATGTAATTTATGACTGACCAGATGATCATATGTATGGGTAAATATTACGCTAGGGGATTACTAGAAGAGCAATGGGCCACTTCACGGTTAGTTCGGTCATATTGAATAGGGGGCAGATTTTTTGGATAGAGGTGGAAATAGTATGGGAAATCCTATGCTTGTTTCCAAGCAACTGTTCTGTTTTAATGATGTTTTCCCGTATATTTCAAACCATTTTTACCTCCATTATGAAATTCTGCCCCCTATTCAACATGGCTGCACTAACCGTGAAGGGGCCTATTCAGGCTCTTAAAGGCTGTGGATTACTAACTGCAAAGAAGTTGAGACTACTGTTTTATGTTATATGTCTTTTCAGATGAAGCTGTGAAAACTGTTGAACATGTTGAAGATAATACAACTCTAGGAAAATATTGGAAAGCTGTGAAAGAAAATGTGTCCGATTTTACAGGATGGACATATTTACTTCAATATGTTGAGCAAGAGGTTTCTAATAATTTTATCTTTACATGACAAGGTTCAATTAAGTGATTTTTGTTTGCTTATGTACACTGTACATTGGAAAATAATTCTGGCACATTCATGACAATGATTTAGATGATTGGTAATTATATGT